AGTAATAATTAAAGGCAATAAGTAACCTGCGTCATATCACCGTCCATTTCGTCCTAGGTTTCCGCATGCAAACTTTTTGTCTTTGATCTAAAACATCATTTAATTTTATTATTCACTTTTCGTAATTTGAAATTTTGAGTAATCCAATATGCTCTTTATGAATGTCAGTTCGTGAAAATTCGTCGAGTTAGAAACGATTATACATACTTAATTTCAATCAATAGCAATTTGTTGTAAAATTGTTAAAATTTATTTATAATGTTATCCTCACAAATTTGAACTCAAGAAAAATAGGTATAATAAAGTTAAATTATTTACCAAACCCGAAGAAAAGGGTTTTTTGTTTTTCATTAATTAAATCAAGTTCTGAAGCTTAGTCAGTCTTTTATTCATTTGCCTAACCATCGAACTCGTCACAGACTTTGTTAGTAACACTGTTTTATATAAAAAAATACATATTAATATATAAATACCTATTCAGTTATTATTATTATTATATTACGAAGTTTAAATAAAATAATGAAACAATTATTTTGAAAGGGTGATAAGAAATATATACTATAAATAGACTAATTAATACAATAATAGATTCTCCGAATTGGATTATTGTAATGAAGTTAATTAAGTCATTTGTTTATTTTTCATAAGTCCAACATACCATTTAGTAATTTGTTGTTATTCCCACGATGTCTGCTAAATAACGACACATAATTTTAGTCTTCCAATAACCATAGAAGATACATGATCGATAAGTACACATTAATATCAATTTTAATAATTCTAGCATTAATTGTGATTAAAGTAAATATGAAATATGATTGTTGTGAAGTTGCTGAAGTGAGTTTTATCGTGGACGTTGCTAAATTGGATACACTATTGTTTAGAATCGAGGAATTGAGGTAAAATCTTTATTTCGTATGTTGAAGAATAATGAAAAGACTTCAGCTATTAAGTTTATATGAACGTATACTAGAAAATATTATTAACTTTTGAAATCACCGCGAATTTCACCCGATCTCTCTGAATTGAGTATTCAAAGTTAAGCACGTCTCAAATTGTACTTAAATGTCACTTAAACTGGTTATTGATTCTAATTTAAGTTTATTTTAACGATCAGTTGATAGCAGTTTGTTAGAAACTAAAACTTTTTGCCGTGACAAAAGTAAAAACAAAATCTTAAGTTATTGAGAATAATCACTTGAGATTTTGTACTTTGCTCAATTCAGAAACCGTTTATTTATTTATTTATTACAAATGTTTGCCTTTCTAACGAGTGATGTATAACGAAACGTCTCTAATACACGCGTAGTTATGGACAGTGTCGTAGCCAAACATTTTTATTATTCTCATAGACTATAACTCTCATAACTAAGGCGATAGCATTTGACTCGTTTTTGAACAGACCTTCTTTCTGGTTAACAAACTCTATACTTATATAGGCACGCGACTATGTATCAGCATATTTCAGCAAAACTATACAGTAAAAGCCGCTGTAATAGTATAGAGCTTTAATGAAATAAAACCTCTTTCATAATTTGTAATAGGTTTTATTTGATTCAACTGATATATATGTTACAACAGCAACGAGTTCGAGACTTTATTCTTTTCTTTTTTTAAAGCTGCTGTATAATATGCTACCGTAACAAACGTATTATAACACGGAATATTAGTATACTTTGTTTGATCCTGATCTATTTGACAATTACATTTTATATTACTTATTATTGTCATTTATTATACTTATATCTATTACATCTTATTTATTTTTTTTTCTTATTCAGAATGCATTATTGATTTATATCTATTTGTCATAAATTTATGTTTGATAATGCATCATATCATCGAACCTTTACAAATTTATACTTATTTCTTTCAATTACTTCTTTCTGAATTTCATCAATGCAAATGCTGAAAGCTACCAAAAAATTTACCAATTTCCAAAATTACCAATGACTGTATTATTCCTAGTGATTTCTTATAGAAATAAATGCAACTCTAATCAGTGTTCCTTGCAATAAATATTTTGGTTGTACTTAAATGAAATACCTATTAGTGTATAAATATTTCAAGGTCATCCCTATATTTGAGTCATTTCTGTTGTTCCCACGCAAAACGTATTTATCGCATCCGTAGTATGTATGCAATATATTATTATCCCGCTGAAAAACAATTAGTATTTTAATACATATCCATAAGTAACGGTGGTCATACACGTTGTGGTGAATTTCATGAACTTTATTTATTGTTTATGGTTTTTTGTGGAAATTTGTGAGAATCTGTTGTTAAGTGTTAATGAAAATGTAAGTAACATAATTGTATATATATAAATAAATCAACTAATTTATTGTTAAGCGCATTCACCAACAGCTGGAGCAATTAGGCATTCTTTTTTTTTATATTTTGTTTAAGACATAAGGTCTCTATGGAAAGTGCGAAGAAAACAATAAAGACAACACGTTTCATTTCCAATACAATACATAAAGTCCTAGGGGGTAATTCTACTAAATAAATTTTGTTTAAATCGAATCGAAAACGGATCGAAACCGAACGAAATTACAGTTTTTAATGGTTTTCCTATTCTACAAAATTACATACGATATAAATCCAGTTCTATTTTAGCTGGAATTGTATCGTATGTCACTTAGTTTCTACTAAGTGAAACTAAGTGACTTAGTAGAAACTAGTAGTTTCACTTAGTGAAACTAAGTGATAAAAACTGTAGTTTAAACCATTAAAAACTGTAGTTTCGTTCGGTTTCGAGCCGTTTTCGATCAGTTTTCGAATCGATTTAAACAAAATTTATTTACTAGAATTGGCCCCCTGTTCGGTGCAAATCTGAAGCTATACTCTTAAAACCGCTATTAAATATATAGGAATACCTAGACTTAAAGAGTACATGTCAAAGTAATAAAATGAACCAAAATAGCGCTACATCGCTAACAATCGCTAAGATGTCGTATACTATGGCTAGAGTTATAGCTAGAGGAGTTAGGCGCTTTGCTGATGGCGATAAAGGCCACGGTATATCGAATATCGCTTTTAAAAGTGCAAACCCTGACGAAAAATTCTTCATGCGTCTTACAAAACAACAAGGTTGTAATGTTATATTTGATCAATTATACATTCACAATGCTATACTGGAAAATATTGTTAGTGAAAAATGCTTAATAAAGCCACTTTGTCCCTGGTACATCTCAATCCCATATCAGAATACCACGGACAAAATTAATTTTTAAATATTTTTTATCATATGTCATATATTCCGTGATCTATAGTTATTCGACGTATTTTCCGTCATATACGCTCCGATCCTTTTTAAGATTATAACTTTTGATTTGCTGCATTCTGATGAAAAAACGATGTTATTGAAAATTCCGCATTTTGATGAAATTATGACTAAAGATATTTTATGACGTTTGCTCATTTTTTGTTTCTCCCTCTCAGTTCGTAGATATCAGGTGACATTTTGATCCCAACATAATTATTTTTATTTTCTAAGCCATTCTGATTTAATTAAACCCGTATTACGTTTTAACGCTGTTAATTCTACTACAGCGTTTTGCTGTACGACGGTACTTAGGCAGAACAAAGTCTGTCGTGGCTATGCCGAGGCTAGCTAGTCCAAAATGTGATTTAGAACAGTCATAATAAAAACTGGTGGTGCGTGGGACGACCAATAATATTTTATCGGCACATTAAGCGACTGTTCAAAATATTATTTTTCCACCGTGAGATACTGCCCCCTTATTCTGGAACGCAATCACGACCGATCGAAATTGCAATTGTGCCACTTTGCACCCTTTATTGATACACTAGCATACTCTGGCGCTAGTGTGCCACATCAAGAGCACGGCACAATTGCAATGTCGATCAGTCGCGTTTGCGTTCGAGAGTAAGGAGGTTAGTCCAAAAAATAAAAACTAACCTGCGTTTCTGTAAAAATCCATACCGAAATCGAATTACGAATCTGGATCGTGAATACACTAGTAGTCGAGAGAAGTTATTACTTGAGAATATATTTTTACCAAATAAACAAAAATTTTATGGAAGTAAAAGCTGTTAATAGTTAGAATATTATTATTATTAGCTATATACAATTCTTATTGAAAATATTTTCTTAAGTTGTAATATTTTTTCAAGTAATCACTTCTCTGGACTATAGATACGAGTGTTAGAGACCTGGGGAAGGATCAATAAATTGAATAACCTTTACTTGTTTTTCGTTTTAAATCAGTTAAATATTGTTTGTAACTTTATATCCCTATCTTGGTGATATGAAGAAAATATATAATGTATAGTGATCATACAAATACGTTCTACAACCATTTATTTGAACCGAATCAGATTTTTAAACTCGGATAAAAATAATATAATGGTTTTAAACTGTTTTCTTTCGTTTTAAATCGATTAATTGGATTATTTTCAATTCTATACATCCATAGCCATAACAGTGGTGGCATTAATAGACGGAGGATGATAAAGAACAATTGAAGTTATTTAACATCATTTATGTATATAAATAACTCCGTATGGTAATTATTCATTCATTAATTTATCCAAAAAAAGACTAAAAAAATACATGTCAAAGTAGTAACATGATTTCAGAATTATCATGCACAAATAAATAAATAACTTCAAAAGAAAGGCATATATTATATGTATACTCTGGTAGTAGGGTAATATATATTTTATGCTTATATTACTTTATATTTAAAGAGCGTAGGATTTGTCGCCGATAAACTGTTATGAAGTTTGGCGAAACAATGTTTGTATATTTTTTTGTATTTTATCATGGTCAATAAATAACTAAAATAAAAAAAACGATATATCGTTAAAGTCGCTAAGATGTCGTATTCTTTAGCTAGAAGCATGACTAGAGAGCAAGGCAATCGCATACCTGTGGCTGGTGATTTCCTTTAAGATTTTTTTTAAGAATATTTATTTAGCTGTATTGTAAATGCAAATTTGATAAAATATTATAAATAAATTACCTTTTACATATAATTAACGATCCCGGTTTATTCCTCAGGCTCCTAAGGCCGGTGTCTGTGGCCGGCGTGATGGAGCACGCGCTGCAGCACCGCGAGCGCGTCGGCGTCAGCGACTTCGTGCTGCTCGAGGACTTCCGCTCGGAAGAAGCATTCATCGACAATTTGCGCAAGAGATTCCGCGAGAACATTATCTATGTAGGCCATTTCTCTACTATACATTTTATTCATCATCAGCCCTGTTGTTATGTCCCCACAGGACTCAGGCCTTCCTTATAGATGGCTAAGGAGAATGGACCATAAACCTCAACGCTGCCCCAATAAGATTAGAGGATATTGACGATTGTTATTGCAGCCGGGATCAACGGCTTAACGTGCCTTCCGAAGCACGGAGTTGCTCTAGATAATAATTTTTTGATCACCCATCCCGTGACCGACCCTTGCAAAAGTTGCTCAACGACAATAATCGCGGGCTGCCGCGCTTATTTACTAGGCCACCGAGCTACATAGTTAAACTTTATTACACTCTATTGTATTTATTAAATTTACACATTGCTACATTTCTCCGTTAATGTTATTAAAAATTAAATGTGTCTCAGATATGAAAATACGCTCCCTAGCACAAATGCTGCCAGATCTAAAATCCAATTCAGCGCTAGAACCAAAAACGACCAAAATAAACTGTAGATTTCACAAAAATAGCATAAGGCGTTATTATTATTTCGCATCAAATTGACAACATTTTTCCGTTCCGTTTCAGTTTTCACCATCAATGTAGAGATATTAATATTAAGGAACAAAAATTTTTTATTTTTTATTTTATTTTCAAAGGTGAATCAACAGTTACATAAAATTAAATAAAAAAACAATATTAAGAAACAGATAACCAATTATAGACTCACACATATAGATACAAACTACAATAAGGACACAAACCAGTGTTACCACTATGTTTATCAAACAATTACACATATTTAAATAATAAAAGAAAAAATACGTATATTAATCCCTTAATCCCTCCTTAATCCCTTAATCCCTCCCTTAAAAGCAACTTTACATTCATAGTGTAAAGAAAAATTTGTAATAAAATATAAATAATAATTAAGAAAACTCCGTTTCTTTTATAGGCAGGTACTATGAAATACTAATTTCATATCTGATGGCTAATTTAATATTAACTTTCTCCTTCAGACTTACATCGGTAACGTGCTTATCTCGGTTAATCCATACAAGAATCTACCTATCTATACGGAAGAGAAGACTAAACAGTATTACAGGAAGGCATTCTTCGAGGCACCTCCACACGTGTGAGTAAATTGACATTGAAAGTCGGAAAATTCACTAACGTTCTCTTCCTCGAAAACCTTTTTCGATAAGATTCTATATTTATTTATAAAAAAAAAAACCAGCATAATCTAATGAAAACTAACAGATGGGAAATTATTGTGTTTACTAACTAACACATATATTCGTGGCATAAGAAGGTTGACGGACACCTAAGCAAACTCCTCATCGGCGCTTCTTTCTCTTTTAGTTGTAATACCATAATACAATAAAAATACCTCTTTTTCTTAACTTATGTGTTGCAACATTTCCTTATATCAGCCTGGATAATTTTTGCCAGGTAACACGGCTTGTGAATCGAGTCATTTTTCAACCCTTTGTCACTTATAAAAGTTTGGGAACATGTCAATAGCAACGTGTACAAACCTATATAGCACATTTAATAACACCATGATTAGCGTTGAGCTTAAAAAATTGTTTATAAAAACAAATTAGCGAATTGTTGAATTCTAAACCTTAATTCTCCTTGTCTAAAACCTAATAGTGACGAGAAAGATTCTAATCTCTAATATGCTAAGGTTTAATGTAGATTTAATCGTCACATATTTAAGGAGATTTAGGAATATGTTAGAAATGTATCAGTATAGAGTCCGGAGAAAAAGGTTTTAGCATTTTTCCACGAGAAAACAATGTTATGGAACGTCTGACCAAACAGTTACAGAATTTGCTTGATCTATTAATAACGCTTATCGAACTGTGATACATCCCTTGCTCCAGATTAACACGAGATATACAAACAATCAAGGGTCTGCCAGATTATACGAGTATTAACTTTTGATTATAATAATGAAGGATACAGTTCAAAATAACTATGTGCTGCTGTATGTACGCACGGTTATCATTCAATTAATGATCTGTACATTTCCAGGTTCGCAATAGCCGACAATGCGTACAGATCGTTGGTGTACGAGCACAGAGAACAATGCATCCTCATTTCAGGTACTTACATAGATTAACTGATCGACCAAGAATAATTTCCGTCTCCTCATTTTAGTTTCGCTGATTTTATAAAAATCAATATTGCCCTATCGGCAGCTAATGCCACTCACAATCTTCTTTACTAAGGTTTATACTACCTATGTAGGTCTTATTTATTTATTAAACTTTATTGACCAGTAAAAAATGGTATAAAATTATTCATCTGATATTCTACCCCAATTAAAAATATATACATCTATATTTTCATTGAGAATAAGATGTAGAAAGATCAGATCCGTTGGTTCTTAATTCTGAACGTATCTATTCTTTCAAATTTAGTGCTAATTTAGTTGTTATAGAACAGCAAATAAAATGATGTTAGTAGTGAAGTAGTGTGTTCTTTATTTATTAACGAAACAAAATCGTTTTTATCAGGTGAATCCGGTTCTGGTAAAACTGAAGCCTCTAAAAAAGTCCTCGAGTACATCGCTGCTAGGACAAACCACTTGCGCAACGTCGAGAACGTCAAGGACAAACTCCTGCAAACCAATCCTCTGCTGGAAGCCTTTGGTAATGCTAAAACAAACAGAAACGACAACTCGAGCCGCTTCGGGAAATATATGGACGTTCAGTTCAACTATGAGGGAGGACCAGAGGGAGGGCATATTCTTAACTACCTCTTGGAGAAGTCCAGGGTGGTCAGTCAGATGACCGGGGAGAGGAACTTCCATGTGTTCTACCAATTACTGGCTGGCGGTGACGAAACACTCATGAATAGATTGAAACTTCAAGGCAGGCCTGAAGCTTACAAGTATACGACAGATGTGGTGAGTGTTCTTCATGTAGTAAATTCATCAAAAGTTGATATCATCAATATGATAAATATACAAAAAGCATTAAACAGTAGCTATGGTTTTGTCAACTTTTAGAATCAGAATTAATATGTTAATAGAAAGTAGATTTTTTTTCCAAATTCCCTGTTCTTATGCTGTTAATTTCATTTCAAAAGTTAATTTCAAGAGTTAGCCAGGAGTATTTTATATTGCATAGCTCAAAAGTAATTGTTATATACTACTGTTTTTATTTATTATTTGCGAAGGAAACCCAAATACATTCTTATACATTTTTCTTTTAGGCAGTACAATCAAGCCAAAAAAATACAGACGCGGATCAATTCCGCGTGGTAAGAGAGGCGATGAAGGTGATAGAAATAGGAGAATCAGAACAATTAGCGATGTTTGAGATCGTAGCGAGTGTGTTGCATTTAGGCAATGTAAAGTTCGTGCAAAATGACAAAGGATACGCAGAAATACTCTCGCATGATGCCAACAGTGGAAATGTGGCAGAGGTAAGGGTTTTATACAATATTGTATAATAAATATTGTATCTATTAATCACGATATTCACATGTAACAATGTTGACCCATCTTTGGGCGAATGAATAATTTAACCTCAGATGGGCAATCTCAAATTGCTACTAAGTAAGGTGATAAGAGAATGCATGAGAAAAAAAGTTGAGAGTAGGATTATGAGACGGTCAAATATGATATCCATACGAATATTATAATGAGGTAAGAGTAGATTGTATGTTGACATTGAATATTGAACTACTGAACCAAATTAAAAAATATTTCTTCTGTCATCTGTGGGATGCTATATCAAAAAGGTTAACATTAATACATATCTTAAAGACGAGTGAAACCCTCAAAAAACGTTTATTGAATTCTGACTGTTAATATTAGGTAGTTTTCACTCTTATGTTGTAGAAATGTGAAACAAAGCAATTTCAGAACCTTAACATAGATTTTCGCTAATATAGGTAATTAAAAAACTTTCAAACTACCACCATGATCTAAGATAAACCAACTTAGAATTCGGTACACAGCATAGAGATTTAATAAAATAAAACCTACGTCAAAAGGTAATACTATAAAGGCTTAATTTCATTAAACCTCTATTATTAGTTGTGTTCAACGTCGAGTTGAAAACTGAATTTATTACATAATAGCATATTTAGAACTTATGAAATGATAATATTATTACACATTACAATGTTCCACAAACTTTTGATTACTCGTATGAATATCAGAAATCTTTATAGTATAAGCACACTCTAGTAAACGTATCGCGTCGATTCGCTCGTGCGGAATTCCACAAGGCGCGTAACTAGGGCCATTGTTCTATATTGTTTATGTAAATAGGTATAGACTTACTTCATCCATATTGTTTCATGTTAAAACACCTTCCTAAGCTCCTTATTGAACAGTTTGTAGCGATATCAATAACTATAGCCTATTCTTTCGTAAACATAGAAATGTAGGCAATTCACACTTACAACTTGTATAATTTACATTTTATCATAAAAATAATTGTGTAGCATTAAAGAGTCAAAGATTTGTTTTTCATATAACTCTTTGACTTATGCTAGGTAGTGTTATATGATCAGTGTTTTTAAAAGTAAAGTAAAAACCAATGTAAATATAGGTCTTGATTCAAACATTCTGCTCGAGACACATAATAATGATAACAAATACATTCCAAATGAGTTAACATCACCTGCTGACGTTATCACCTTTACGTGACTAACGTATAATTAAAAAATGTTATCGCCACAATTAATCAGGTCTATTTTATTATATACCCATGATATTATATAGACATTAGACTAAATGTTTAGGTATAAAAAATTATTTCACACTGTATATAATCAGAAAAATCTTGAAGTTACTTAAAATTTCTAAATGGATCTTGAACCGAGAAAATATTTAAAAAAAATCGATAAATGCAGTCAACTAATCCTTATATTAAACAAGAACAACTAGTCTCATTTTCGAGGCATTAAAGTGTAACAAAATATTTGGAGAATTAAAGCTTTCATCTAACCTAACAAATTAGGTATGATATATAAGTGTTGTAGTGTACTTATGTAGTGTACGCACAAAAATTGTTATCATTATAGAACTACAGTGAAACAAATACAAGGTCGTACCGAACGTGACTTAACAATACATTGATTAATCTATGGTGCTACCGAAGTTCGCGGGGTCAACATCTTGGATGTAAAGCGGTATTTACATTTACTACGCTGCGCCACGCACGGATAAATACTAATTTCCATTCATTTCGACCTACATCATAATTGGAAGATTCCAAAGTGCTTTTAATAAACTTTTTTAAATTTATCATATTTGATCTGTAATAGCGAAAAATAACAAGTGCTTGAAAAATTCGTCAGTTAGGTCCTGCGTTATGAAATTATTATGAAAGGTCATAAGTTCGGTCCCTTCTCAGAGTGTCAGGGACTAAGTGGATTTTTAACCATTTTTCATCAAGAAAGCTTTCTTGAATTTTTTTTTTAATTTTTACTTTTCTAAACTGATTTCTTATTTAAATTACACAAACTTATCTGTTCTTTGATGTTAATTATATTACAGAAACTATTGCTAACTTTGGAACTATTATTATAAATATAAATTGTTTTACATTTTTTTATAATTATTACTGTAAAACAGATAATTGTCAGCCTGAATTATATAGAGAGCCGCTGGCAGAAAGCTATGTAGTCAAATAAAACTTTACTCTACGGATAGGTCGATTTGCTTAACGCGCAAGACGGGGCTAGTATAACCACTACCATACTAAATTTACGAAACTGTGCCGCGTGTGGTGAAGCGGGAACGGCTATATGTAACCCACACTTTATTTAACCCGGGATATTGCTCTTTATGCTAATGAGGTTGTTCACTTCAATATTTTATCTGAAATCTTGTGGTTACATATATAATCGCATAAAGTAGTTTTTAATATTATTAGTACAAACTACTTAACTTATATTTGCTTAGATAATTCAATATTTTTTAGTTAAAAATAAATAACTAGGGACGATGTGAATAGTATTGATAAATAAACGAAATTTAATAATTTATACAAACCAGCGTAAATAACACAAGACAAAAACTAATCTAACCAAATCAAACTTTGAGTTTGTTTTAACGTTATTCCAAAGTCATACGTAATCAATTAAATAATCCTCTATATTAAAATATTATAGTTTATTTCTGTTATGTTAGATATATACAATTTAATACGCTGTTTTACAGGACTAAACTAAAACTTACATCGTCATAAACATAGAGATTCTGATTTTGAGTCTTAAATTCGCACGCTTATCTTATTATCTTAAAATTCAAAGTCGTGATATTTTGTATGTGTGTCACGTGACTTGAAACACAACCCGCCATTTTGTGACGTCACTGTGGCAACAGCTGTCAGATTAGTCATAAAGTTATATCAATTAATTATAAATCGAATTCATATATAGCTCTATTCTTAGCCCATTTATATCTTTTTATTTCGAAATCGATCGTTAGATGGCATTGTTCTTGTTTTATTGACATCTTTTAATCTTCTCTATACTCTATGTATCTGATTTTCGCACAGAGCTAAGGTTTTGTGTACATGTCATAATGACGTCATGAACATGGCGGACAGCGTTTTCGCGGGTATGAATAAGTTAAAATTTTAATATAATTTTAAGGCAATAAAATGTGTTTATTTTTCCGAAATATTTGTTTTATGGTTTTTTTTATTAAAATAAACAGTACAAGTATTCTTTCAACCAGAGTAGAATACCCTATTTTGTTGCACTAACATTTGTTATAATACTAAAAAGTCCATGGCAGAAGGTCCCAGTTCTTCGACAACAGAAAACACTTGAATTTTTATTTCAATGAATAATTATTTTTAGTTTTAATACCTTCACTATTATGATGAAAAGGTGGATTGGGTGAAAGGAAAGAGTTGTTTTATATTCTACAAATTAGAATAAGGTAGTTTCGACTTTGACTTCATCAATAAATAATTTATCTTCCAGCTTCTGAAAGTGGATACTCTAAAACTCCGCGAAGCACTAACCAGTCGCACGATTGATGCTCGCGGAGACGTCGTCAACACACCCCTGGACCAAGAACAGGCGCAATTCGCCAGAGACGCGCTAGCTAAGGCCATTTACGATAAATTGTTCAGCTGGCTCGTATTGAGAATCAATTCTTCATTGACACCAAAAGAGAAAGACGCGAGGTCATCGGTCATTGGCATATTGGATATTTATGGATTCGAAATATTCCCTAAAAACAGGTACTATTATTGTAAGGCGAGTTTGGTAAACGAACTTCTGAGTAATCTCAAGCATAGATGGAATTCAAGTACGTATTCCTTTTTGAGAAACCGCTGATTTTGATTTTGAAAGAATTGCATTTGGCAAGAGTTAAAAAGCATGAGTTGTGAACGCTTTAGATGATGTTACCCGTAGTCTGCCCAAGCAATAATAGAATACAAACTAACTACTTCTATGAAATTTAGTATTTTATTTATCCATTATTGATCCAATTTTATATGATAAATAAATCTTAATGTTCGTGTTACCAGTTTCGAGCAGTTCTGCATTAACTTCTGCAATGAAAAACTGCAGCAACTTTTCATCGAGCTAACATTGAAGCAGGAACAGGAGGAGTACTTACGCGAGGGCATCGTCTGGGAGCCTGTCGAATATTTCAACAATATCATTATTTGCGACCTTATCGAGGCCAGACATAAAGGTGATTTTTATTTTAATATTTTTTCTGAACTCAGTGTCTTACGAATTATAAAATAGTCACTAAAATAACATTACATATATTGCTCATGAGTCAAGTTATGTTAAAACAGAAAACCGAAGTCACCGAGTTAAAAATTAAATCGGCTGAATATTTAAATCTGGACATCAGATGTAGCAACAGAATTAGATGAAAATCGTGGAACTGGTGAACTATTTTACATAATTCTTTGAATGATTATTTTGCAGGTATAATCGCTATTCTTGATGACGAGTGTCTACGACCAGGAGATGCCACGGATGCTAGTTTCCTCGAGAAACTAACGCAGAGTTTGGATGGACACCGACACTACAAGTCACACCGAAAGGCTGACTCCAAGACACAAAAACTCATGGGCAGAGATGTAAGTCTTCAAAAATTCGATCATGCTGCCGATAAAGTCTTTCTAATTAGGGCGTTGGATTTTTATTTACGTTAACTATTGACTATTTATCTTTTGGATAAAAAAAAAATACAAGGATTGAAATTGATATACAAAAAGTAAATGACGATTAACGCCCGGTTTCTGAATAGAGAATTAAAAGTTAAGACGCGACAAACTGGAAGACTTAAACGTCACTTAATCGGGTTTTTGTTTCCGATTTTAATTTTTTTGATGATCATTTGATAGCAGACTGATAATACTAGGACTTTTTGACTTGAGAAACGTTAAAAAAACTAAATTTATTAAGAATAGTCAGTTGAGATTTTGTACTCTTCTCAATTCAGAAACCGGCTGTAAGTTTAAATGAATATCTGTGCAATCTTCATCATAAGATCAAAACCAATTTGAAAATCAAAAAAATTGGATATCGAAATTATCTTTTTGTGCAGGAATTTTGTCTAGTCCACTACGCAGGCGAGGTGACGTACAATGTAAGCACTTTCTTGGAGAAGAACAACGACCTTCTGTTCCGCGATATCCAGAGCCTCATGGGCACTAGCGGCAACGCCGTCGTCCATGACTGCTTCAAGGTAATTCATCTCTTTAAATATAATCTACAGGGCCTAAAATATTTACATATAAAAAACACTATAATAAAGTCTCGAATTCAATATAGGAGTCATATGGTTAACGTTGATCAATTTAATAATTGTAAAATTTAAATTACAAAATTTGTTTAACATCATGTTTTAATTCTGTTAGAAATCATGTACAGTAAATATGGACATGACTGAAGAGTTACAGAAGAGGAAACGAAGTTAAGAAAATGGTGATTTTAAAACCAGTGTACCTCAAGGATTTGTATTAGGTTCATGGTTATTTCTTTATAATAATGAAAATTATGTTGACAGGAATGCAACCTGAGAAGCAAGAAACGTCCGGAGACAGCTATTACGCAGTTCAAAAACTCTCTTAATGAGCTAATCAAGATTCTTAGTAGCAAAGAACCTTCATACATTAGGTGTATCAAGCCCAATGATTTCAAGGCACCTAGTAAGTATTATTTCATTTAAAAAATCCAATTAGAGTAATTGTTGTCAATTAGATATGAAAATAACTTAACAGTTTATTGATTGACGAACTAGACCGTTAATAGTTATAAATCTATTAACGGTGGCAACTATTAGGCTCACGTGTCATAAAGGAAGATTTTCATTGGAAGAATGAAGGAATATCTTTTTTAACAATTGTATAAATAAAATATATTTTTTTAATTCGCAGTGCAATTCGACGACAAGTTGGTATCGCATCAGGTGAAGTATCTCGGGCTTATGGAGAATCTGCGCGTGCGACGCGCCGGCTTCGCCTACAGGAGAACTTATGAGACATTCCTAGAAAGGTCACTGCTTTTTATAAATAATTATATCTTGCAGTGGTTTCCAAAATCAATTTAGCTAATAGTATTATATTGTTTCTTTATTTATTTATTTGTTTTTGATAAATTTATAGGTACTTTATGCCTTTTCATCTTATCCAATAATTAAATCGACTTTATTCATTGTCTTACCAATAGGTAGAAAGTACTTACTTGGTATAGATATACAGTGAACAACATTTCAGGTTATACACTTGTACCAAATTTATACCTTGATTTATCGTGAGTAGACATCAAAATAAACTGCGGAAATGTGATATTCTAGTGACGTGATGTTTTACTGAATAAAGTCAGTAATTAATGTTATTTATTATGAATAAAGACAGTAATTAATATTACAACTTTTATTTTAGATACAAGTGTTTGTCATCGGAAACATGGCCGAACTACCGTGGCGCCGCGCGCGACGGCGTACAGAAACTCGTCGAAGCACTCAACTATGAACGAGAGGATTACCGTATGGGCAAGTCAGTACAATAGTTATAATAACTGTAAAAGTGTATTGAAATAACCGCATATCGATTATTTTTTTAAAGAAGCCCAAGTTTTTAACGCTTTGATTTATCCGAAAAGATTTCTATAGGACGAAAATAAATTCCATATAAAATATTTTAATACTACTCTTCATTTAATCTTAGCACAAAAATCTTCATACGCTTCCCGAAGACCCTATTCGAAACGGAGGACGCGTACCAGATAAAGAAGAACGACATCGCCACCATAATACAGAGCAGGTGGCGCGGATACTGGCAGCGGAAGCAATACCTCAAGATGAGGCAAGCCGCCATCGTCATACAGAAGTGGGTCCGGAGGTTCCTCGCACAGAGACTGCGCCAGAGGAGGAGGAAGGCCGCTGACGTCATCAGGGCCTTCATCAAAGGTAACCAATCCCTATGAGTAGATAGGTCTAGACTCCTGTACAATAAAACAGTTGATAAGCCATAGTTGGCGCAACTAAACAGGGTGATGAATGATACAGGTGGGCGGTTAATTGTGCCTGTAAGTGTATCAAGTCCATGCATATGTTTCCTGGTCTCGAACTAGACCAGATCCAGGAATACCTAGACCAGTAGCAATTGAAATTACAAATGAAATTCAAATACTTCAGTTTACTTATAGAACGAAATCTGATGGCTTATTTATACTTTATTTGTATTTCAGGTTTCATCACCCGGAACGGTCCGGAGACGCCGGAAAACCGTCGGTTTTTGGGCATAGCGAAGGTTCACTGGCTGAAGCGGCTCTCCCAACAACTCCCCAAGAAAATCCTGGACCTCTCCTGGCCGCCATGCCCCGCCACCTGCCAGGCAGCATCCAAGTAATCACATACAAACCAGACTCACGTAACACCAAAAATAAAAGCGATATAAATGGGATAGCAATGTTAAATAATACTTTCATGAAAGCTCATTTAATTAAATTATAACTAAATTATAAACTAAAAGTTAAATGCTCTACTGTTGACTGCACTAAGGATGGAATCGAATAGGAAAAATGGGTAATATTCCACCGCGCAGGTCCATTACGGATTGGTAACATTTAACGACTGTAGATGCAGCCGAGACCAACGGCTCAATATGCCTTGAGCAACACAGAGAAGTTCAAGATAAAAAATCGTCGAGCTCCTGATGAAGACACTCATATTAATAATAAACTCGACCAGCCTGACTTTTTTTGCCCACGCACAGTCTATATAATTTTAAACCTACAAAATTAGTAACTAAGGCACATTTCACAGGGAGTTACATAGGCTACATCGCGCGCACTTGTCCCGCAAGTATCGGCTCGCGCTCTCGCCTGCTGACAAGAAACAGTTCGAACTCAAACTTCTTGCAGAGAAGATCTTCAAGGGTGAGACAAAATCACATCGGTATATTATCACGTGTAACAAAAATTTTAGAAACTGTCGATGACGGGCACATTATTTTATACATAAATAGAATATAAGTAGACTCACATCTATTAAAGTCGTGCATACGCACAGAGTTGCTGTAAGCGTTGTAATACGTCAATCAAAGAGAACAATATTAAAAAATAGAGCCAGTCCGTGACCGACAGTACACGTCACGAAATTATCAGATTTTCCCTCCCCTTTTTTGCCTTCCATTTTTTACAGAGGAATGTAACAAAGAAAATTAAATTTATATGGAAAAGATTGTAGAAAACATTTTTTTCTTTTGAGCGAAATTCTACCACGTAGTTGAATGGATCATAGATCCCACTTACAAAATTAGTATAATATTTCTAACATAAATTGGTTAGGACTCTATCCCCAGAATAGAAAAGCCCAAAGGAAATTTTCTTTTAGTCTCGTTTATCAGCAGCTTATACGACATCAACCAAACCAAAGTTAATGCTTATACTACATTAACTTCGGTTTGGTTGGTGTTGAATTCAATCCAAATGCATTTAAAGTTCAATACGATTTCAATACAAATAAATATCGAGTACATTTGATTCCAACTGTATCTAACAAAATAGCCATTTACACGCATTACTACTCAAAAGAAGTCAATATGGTTAGGCCTGAGGCTCTCTCCACTAGTAAAACCTAAAAAAGAAATGGTCTTCAACTTCTACACTTGACAAAAAATAAATCAATTATGTTCTTAATTATTTTATTTCTATAAGGCAAGAAGAATAGCTACCCCAGCAGCATCGGTCCTCGTTTCCAAACAGACAGATTGCGGCCGGAACACCAGGTGTTACGGAACTCGTTCATGGCCTCGCCCTCCTGGCCTACCGGGGAACAGCTTATCGTGAGAAATATCTATATCTATCAATACTTATGTTTACATTTATATAAGATTTTATAGCATCAACATTTACGCAATATTTTCTGTCATGGTTGAAAAAATTGTCGATCAGGGCCTGTTACTGACGCGACGTACTGGGGCGCGACCGCCTAACTCATGGACGTGACTCTGTTGATATTTTTTTTAAATTAAATATTTTTTATTATTTACATATTTAAACAATGCTGTTGGTTGTCTTTCAACCAGTTGCACAAACGTCCATTAAAATTATCATTAGTTTAAAGCGACATTACCCATACAAATTTGACATTCATTAGATCTTAATGACGCCTTTAAACCTTAATGGACGTTTGTGCAACTCACCGTTTGTTTACTAAATTATTAAAGTTAAAGGAAATTAACAAAATGTCGAATTGATGCAAACAAGGCTTTTTCGAAAAGAAAAACAAACCAAAATGTTTGATAAAATATATAAATAAAAAAAACAATTAATTTTAAGAATATAAACAGATTCATGTGAAAAACCTATAAAACGTAGGTTATAGCTACGACTACGGCTACGTCCATGAGTTAGGCGGTCGCGCCCCTGTTTTTAACTGAGATTTGTTATTTTTGCTGTTGATCATCCATGTTTAAATAAATAAACGAGATTTTTAATTATATACGACATTCCTAATTGCAGTATTCGTGTGAAGTAGTGAAATACGACAGACGCGGGTACAAGCCCCGCGAGCGCACGCTGCTCGCGTCGGACAAGGCGCTGTACGTGCTGGACGCGTGCGGCCGCAAGACCTACCGCCTCAAGCATCGCCTGCCGCTCGACAAACTGCGGGTAGTACTCACCAACGAGTCGGACGGGCTGCTGCTCATCAAGATACCGCAGGACCTTAAGAAGGACAAGGTAATTGAGTCTACAGTCTTGTCGCACCGTGACTGGTTCGGTGCTCAGGTGTTGGTAGAAAATGAAAGCCGACTAGGCTTGATAAGTACTATTTAAAGTGTGAATAGATAAACACTTTTCTGGGTTTTATAATAGAATTTAGTAGATATTTCGTATAGACATACGTTTACATGTTTCTTTACTGGTTTATATGATTAGATTTCATAGAATGTTCTCACCGGATAAATTTTCACGAATTAACATTCAGAAAGAGCATATCGTGTTACTCAAAAATTTTAAAATAATGAATAATATTGGGAAACCATATTAAAAGAAAAAAAGTTCGAATGCGGGAACCTAGGACAAAATAAGCGGTGTGGTACGGACTCACCGTTACAGCACAATGACATTTGTGCCTACCAAAGAGAATTTAAACACGTCATCATCATCACATCAGCCGGAAGACGTCCACTCCTGAACATAGGCCTAAACAAAACAAACACGTGCCTACAGATAAATATCGTAGTTAACTAAAATAAAATTGGCTAGATGCATAGATTTATTATTTATATAGATGGATTATGGACTATACATTTTTGAAATGGTATAATCTTAATGGCGACATTCAATCTTTTACGACCCACAACATAAGCTACTACATACCTTTCTTTTTTGAACATATAACATTTTCATTTTGTGAAAACGAGAAAAACTGTGTTCGTGAGTTTTACTTAAATGTACTCCATCTTTTAGATATTTAATAGAGGCTAGATGAGGCTAGCGCAAGCACAATAGCAACAAGTGAAAAATAGGTATACGTAATGCAGTCATTGTATGAAATTCTCTGTTCGGCAAAAAATTAAATATACCTATCTAGAAAGCGAAAACTAGTTTTTTGGAAGGTCTCTGTTCTCCCTGCCTACACCACAAAAGATGTGACTTTTTAATTAAAAATCTCATTGTATTAATAATTTCTGTTGCAGGGCGACTTAATAATCGCAGTATCGCACTTGATCGAGGCGTTGACCATTGTTACGGACTACACCAAGAGACCGGAGCTGATAGAGATCGTTGATACTAAGTCGTTAGTAGTTTAACTCATTTTTTTTTAATCACTATTATTTTACATAATAATACCACATTTACTTACACCTACAGTCCTTTTAGTGTTTTAGAAGCAAAAATTGTAATACATTTATCAGGTAGTGGCGGAGTATAACAATAAGAGTAGTACACTTCTAACGTGTCCTAATAGAGGCCGATTAAAAATCGAAGAAAAATATTACTGTTCACTATGATATTAATTAAAAAAACTGCCGTAAGCACAAGTGAATTTTCCAAACTTGTTCAACTTATTTCGGCTATTATACACGAGGCCCTTTGCAGAAAAAGGCTTATCCAATCTCTGCATATAGGGTTCAATATTACTACAGACAATGTGACGCTTCCCTTCTATTCTACTCCAAAAGGTGCAGGATTTTACCCCACAATCACTATAGTTTTTCACGAGATGATAAAACGCTAGAATCCCCATAATACTATCATAGAGTGACTAAAAATTCGTCATAAATTGCAGCATCGCGCACGACCTCGTGAACGGCAAACAGGGCGGCACCATCGAAGTGACCAACGGACCGCAACCAGTCATCCAGCGCGCCAAGAGCGGCAATCTACTCGTCGTACGTACCGATACATAAATAAAATACATCCATCACAAGTTACACTCTGAAAATCCGAAACAAAAGTAACCGCATACCGACACGTACTACCATCAGGACAATGGTGGCAATTCTACGACACAAAAAACTAGACTTTTAGATTCTTAGCAGATTTTCACGTGTAAATGAACTCGAGTCTTGAGAAATGGCCATTCTATATCTCGGTCTCGCCCTCGCCTGTTTCTAGTCTTTAGACTTGATTATGAATGAATGAATGAAAATCTTCATTGTACCTACATACCATAAATGAACAGTACACAATAATGTAACAGACATGGCAGCCTTATTGCTAAAAAGCAATTTCTTCCAAGTAATCTTATTTGTTACGCGGGATATTCGTCAGGTCAAAAGCGTGACCAACAAATCTTAGCCCGAATCGAAATCAAGTTTCTTGATTAGTTACCAACTTTCTTATTATTTTTAGATTACTTGAACTCTGTTTTATATTTATGTTTTTTTATACACAAGGAAGAGAACTGAAATCAACTTACATTTTTAATTTTCCAGGTTGCTACTCCCTGAAAGCGGCCATCTTTAACAACATCAAGCACAACGAATGACCTTTCATATGCCTAATGAATTTGAATTATTTAGTATTTCTGTTAGAAATTATTCTATTTCATCAAACTCTCCGTGATATTAAGGAAAAAATAACTAACTAATTTCTTAACTGCCATAGCTACTCAAAATACAATCAACAAAACCGTATTTAATTAACTTCTTATATTTTTTATAAATTTTCTATAGTAATAAGTATTATATTTATGAAAAATTATTTATCATAAATGTGATATAATTATGTTAACGAGATTTACGTACAAAGTACTTATTACACAGTTTTTTTTAAATATTTTGTATGCCATAATTTAAGTTATTGTTATTAATTTTGAAAAATGTTGTGTAATATAAGCGATGAATTAATAGAAGCATTGAATTTGTATTTATAATATTTATATCTTTAGCATATATCATTTGTTTCTTATATTTATAAGCTGAATCAAAGGTGCATAACTTTAAAAGTAGTTTCTTTTCGACTAATTAGCGAAATATGTTTACTCAAACAGAAAATTTCATAAAGTCATCGTAACTTTGAGTTATTTTTGGTTTAGCGGTGACAGTTGGGAATTATATCATTTTGGTAAATAAGAAATGTCTCGCTTTCATTTTTCGGCCCACGATTTACAGTTATTTATTTATTTGCAGTCTTTAAATGATAATTTAACAAGAGCCCTTTCACCGCTAACTGACATTTTGTGCCAGAAAGTCAATTGGCCATAATTTATATATATGCTATAATAAATATACAGGCTAATCAGTGCCTTATTTTTAAGCCGGTTCCTGTAAAGTCATTTTAATTAAATATAAACATTTTGATATTACATCTGAAATAAATTTTATTTCTACCTCCCAGTTACCAGTGTTTACAACAATAATAAAGACAATAATTATAATTCATTGTAGTTTAATTATTTTTAAAAAAATTAGGTACATTTTTACAATTGTATTTTTGTGATAATAGCAATCCAGAGTTGCAGTGATAGACAAATCATCACTTTCAGTCTTAATTTACACACAAGATCTCGATCTCTCGCAACAATGTTACACAAACACAATTTCATAAAAAAATTAATTATCTAAATTTCGTTAATTATCCGTACTAATATTTGGTCTACGCGACTGAACGCCTTTACAGCTAGTTCCTAGCTTCAATGTTGGTTACAAACGCCACGGAATTTACTAGAAATTTACATTTTATTTTAATACATTTATCATGAATGTTATTATTATTAATATGCCAAATGTAAAGCACATAGGGACCGACTATAGGCACTTGAAGTCTAACATTAACATGATAAATTCGATATTTACAAATAATATTATATACACATCCCTAGCAAAATATATTGCAAGTTAGACGCGTTGAATCTGAACAAGTTGCGAGATCACTGCAACCAACAAACAGCCCATCCAATGCACACTTTAAACAATTATACATTATATTATTTGGCTACAATTACTGAGACTGTCCCAGAACTCCGGATTATTTGTAGACAACGTCGCTTCTTAATTTTATATAATACAAAAGACGTTGTCTGCCCAATCATATGCCTACGGTTATTTGATACAAATACGACATAGGTACACTCGAGAAAAGTGGCGGTCTGCCACCCATAGATTACTTAAGACTCATTACCTATTCTACGAACCATAATTAATAAAGTCTATATATGTAAGCGGCACACCGCAAATAATCTCGACTATACATCCGAACAATGTCCTTAAAACTGAATTTGATCATATATCACGTGATAGCCGAGTATCTACCAAAGAAAAATTGCCAAATTTGATGTTGCCATAAATATAAACATTTACAACTTGTCTTTGGTTTAAACCATCAATACACACGATCAAAAACTTTTTATAGGACATACGTTATATCATTATAAAATTCTATGACATTCACACTGAAGTCATATGTATATACAAGTTATTACATAAAGTACTTCATGGAAGATTTAGATAAGCATAGAACAAAGAGCATTGCATGACCAATGGTGAAAGTCCTTCCCATTCAACATGGTCTCAAAACAAAGATAACAATTAACATGATGATATTATATTACTTATCATCGCACGTAAACTATAAACAAAACTCTATGCACCGCGCCGGCAAAGTCCCATATACATACAAATTACATAAATAAATGCCAAATGTGAGGCGAAACGCCGTCAAATTCATAATAAAACTAAAAATTATTTACAATACAATCGCGCATGTTTTCGATTATAACATGGACTAGCTTATTATTAAAATGGTTTTTTTTAAATAGCACAATCGACATCAAGTCAGGTTACAATGTTTCTACAATCTATTTTAAGGCTTAAAATATAGATTATAAGTTTCAAAATATATTACAGAAAATATCTAGTAACCTAATTTGCTGTCATGTGTACTGTATATAATACAGAAGCTCAAAAATAACAATAACAACAATTGTAATAGAATCTTGGATATAAGGTATTCATCGAGTTCTAAGCCCGTTTTTATGACATAATAGCACTGCAGACTGGTTTTGCTGGCAATTTATCTGTCAACCTGACATTCAAGCTATCATTTGACGTTTGACAGTCGGAACACGTTATACAGGGGGGGGGGGGGGGGCGCTGACATATTCACTTTATTCGTCATTTCATCACAGATACGAACTCGCAGAAGGTCTATGCGTTAACACAATCGCATAGTTCACTTAATTATAAACGGAAATTTTGCAAATTCTGACTTTTATCTTGTAAACATAAAAAAAAATAATTATCTCGGGCTCCTCCGTGCTTCGGAAGGCACGTCAAGCCGTTGGAATCGTAGGTATACCACTAACCCGCACATGACCCCCGTCATTGGGCATAACCCGTTCTCGATATTCGATTCCATTATAGGGAAGGCCTGAGCCTCACCAGCAGTGGGAAAATTTAGGCGATATTGATGTTGAAAAACCAACCTTACCAAGCATTTGGACAAATTGCTTGTCTTGGATGGAGGTCTATATGAAAAATATAATTGGTATAGTATGTACATACCATAACAATTATAAATAAACCCTTCAATTGCTAACTATTTATTTTAATCCCCTCCAACTCTGTATGACGCATAACTAGTGAAATTAACTTTAAGTTTTTGGAAACAGTTTTTATATTAAAATAAAAATAAAGCAAAGGCAAGTCTTGTTTGTTGATGTTATGTTTTAATAAATTTTATAAGTAAATAATATAGGTAATTATATCCGATTCTAATATCCTGAATAAATTCATCAAAAAACAAACAAAAATAATATATCCCAACAAAGGTGAGGTTATGCATATTGTGATAACGTATATCCATCTACACATTTATTATTGCAAATTACTACTTATAAACATTTATACAGAGTGCACATTTGCATTAATTTATTGCCGATCACTTTGTACTTTAGACCTTGCATTCAGAACAAACTAGAAACCGCCATCGTTACTACCAAACAATTTAGATCGACTTGAATCAAACTAAAGGCACATTCGAGTCATTCAAGTACCTAATTACATCTTCGCTTTATTATATTTTTAAGCAGTGAAGATTTATTATGTAAAATCATGTCATTTTTGATTCATATCAGAAAATAGGTCGGACGCCTGGTTACAATAATTCAATTACGCCTGGTTAAACTAACTAACGGCATTCTTCATTCTGATAACTTTAATAGTAGGTGTTCCAACTTTTATAACACAAGGTGGACAGGTAGGGTGCACAAGTATCAATTCAAATACACAACAGTTTCAATTTAAAGTCTTTATTTAATTAGTACATAAAGATAGACGGTTTCCAGTTCATCCCGTGCAGTCAGCCGTAGCGTCGCGTATCAATGCAGTGTCCAAGTGTTACAATAACATAAAACAAATAACGTACTTGTTCTTATTACGATAGGTACTATAATAATATTTACAAGGCGCGTTCATAATTCAGCCGGCTCTCTGTATAGATCGATCGGTTAAGCTCGACGCTTTGGTTAATACGATAGGGTGTTGGACACCGTATACAATCACAGTTTTCGTGTCTTACGTGATTTTATTATACTATGAAAAACGATTAAAGGGATTCTTCACTTCCGAATATACATTAACTCGACTTTATAAAATCGAGTGATTTTTTTTTTACAATGATAACTTTGGTTATTAACCTACAGTTGGAATCCCATTAATTTATTTCAAGCAACTTTTAAAGCAAAATAAAAAATATCGTAGGAATATCCACATTTTCTATATAAATACAAAACTTACGTTCGACTAGCCCGTCAAACACCCTATTTTGGTACGAGCCACGAATCATACCAGATACCGCCCGCCGTAGACGCGGTGACTACTCAATCTGGCCGTATAATATTCGGCGATCAGTCTAAAATTGTTATGCGGGTATTATTTTGTGCATAAACGTACGTGCTAATCATCAAACGCGAGACAAATATCTTTTTTGAAAATAATTTTGGCGTTATATATCTATCTATCACAATTTATAAATAAATTTCTAACTATTCACCGATAAATATACAAACGTAAATTCTTTATTAAACATCGTGCGTCCGTCGTATTAGGTACAAATGAGTTATACAATGACTACCACACGTCGAGTTAACAACATTCACCGCACCTACAGCGTTCAGTACACTCGGTGTAGTTAAATATCAAACTCGGGTAAATCACACCTATACTCGAAACTGATCTATAAATTTTACTCAATGGGTAATTAACATTCTTTATGTTACTATTTTCCAAATCAAGACCAAATTAAAACCCAAGCGATCAGAGCTAAATATGACGTATAACATGGCTGGCACTTTAGCAAGTAAGACTAAGTAAGTCCATGACCTAACTATTTTGCAAAACCTGTCAAATCCACAGCGGTTTTTCTTTCATGCTCCGATATAAATACATAATTTTATCGCATAATCTTATTTAAATATTATATTCATGTTTTCTTACATACTCCTATAAAAATCGTTGTTCACTAAAAATCCGAAAAAAAAACATGTATCAATAGCCAAAAACATGTTTTTGTGATTACCCATTTTACCTTCTTTCCCCACATACCGGATTTTGCTATTTAACTACACAAACGTACAATTGCGTACACAGTGCCGTGTACACGGTGGACTACTTGACCTGGCCGACGGCCTCCGGCGGGGGCTCGGGCTTGAACCCGTCGGCCTTGTACTGGTCGGGCTTGTAGTCGTACGGGTCGGGCTTCTCGTCGGCGGGCGGGCGCCGCTGGTGCTGCTGCTCCTGCTCGCGCTGCTGCCGCCGCCGCTGCTTCGACCACAGCTCGTGGCAGTCCTGCCACGTGGGCAACTCCGGCGCAGGCATTCTGTCGCACAACAGACGGTTCGCTTTTAACTAGGGTTGACTATTCTCGCGGAAAAATAAGGCTTTTTAAAATCTAGGTATTAAAATCTCTCGGTCTGGCGAACAAGTCGACTTATTAAATAAATTTTCGACTTATTTGAATAAGTGATATGAATTTGATTACTCTATTTATAAATAAAATTCATATTTTGACAATAGACCAAGAAATTAATTAGGATGGGTATACCAGTAACAATCAAAATAAGCGATATTTTAAAAGAAATTTTGATATTGTGACCCAATTATAACAACAATCATTGCAAAAAAACGTAACATAGTCCTTGTCAACCGTAAAATCGTGTAATTTATTCCAATTTTCTAAAAAGCTGTTCGGTATCTTTTTATTTCAAAATAAATGTAGATAGTCACAATGTTTCTAAGGTTGACCAAATTATATCAGAAAATAAATACAATTTATTTTAATTAGGAAATTTATATTTTAATTAAATAACAATCAACACAACTTTTATATGTCTACAAGTTTCAAGTAATGCTTAAATGCTAATAATATAATCTTTCAATATATCAACGCCCTTCAGCGACAATAGTCTATTCAACTTCCTATGAGACAAAATGTAAACAAACAAACCAATGTTTCTCAAACTTTTTTATTGATGTTTTACGTAAATAAAATTTGTTAATGGGACAAATTATTGTATGGTAGGTATGCAATACAATAAGCTTATTTATTTTTCAAATAAAACTAGCAATTGTAAGAGTAAAATAATTTTATTCAGAATCTTCCCCGTCTTCCTCTGAGGAAGATGAACAGACTATAGATATTCTTTTAAAATTTCTTGCCAATTTCTGAAAGCAGTTTCTGTTACAAGACTTAGATATATGTTTATAGATTCTGCATGACGTGCAAGTATATCTGGATGTCGCTTTAAGAAACTGGATAATAATTTTCTGCCTGGTGTATTATCTCGAAAGGTCGATTCTCTTCAGTAATAATTTTCTTAATAGTGTCAACTACGATTTCTTGATTGACTGGAAATCCATTTTTTGTCATCGCTATTATCCAAATTTTTAACAAGGATTCTTCTTGCTTGGTCAATATAGTGGAGGGTCCCATTTTTCGTTAAACAGGATACTTCTGTTTCATTTTATTTATGACGGTAGTGTGCGGAGTATTATATCTCGTCTATCGCTTTTATGAAATCTTCCTATTTATAATTGAAAAACTTTCTTTTCGGCGGCATTGTGTCTGTAAAAATGTAGGTGGTCAATTACTGGAACATATTCGTAGTATAGATATGACCAGTAATTAACCACTGGTCTACAACAGGAATATTGTTGTATTTAAGCGATTTTTAAAATAATTGATTACATAAAATTACATGATTACTAAATAAATATAAATATAGAAGACAAAATAAACAAATTATCAAAAAGCTAAATCACCAGTAGTAGACCAAATGGTGTATTATTGGAATATCATTGATTTCATATTCCATTAGTTTACCGATGATGAGTGTTGACTTAAATTGAGATTTTCAGATGAAATAATACGTAAGATCATGGTTTTACACATCATATTACTCAGTTAATTAAAAATAAATAACAAAAAATTTAAAAACTTACCGTCGGCGTTTCGCTTACTAATATGGCCGCCCGAAACGAAATAAACGATTGTTTCGAATAATATGTGGCTAAATGAAATAAGTAAAATATGAAATACAACTGTGCACAAATTTCAATTACTCATGATTTTATTTGTTATCTTATTGATTACAAGCAATTATAGTACAAACTGCTAGCAGTGTATAAAATACAACTTTAGATTTTGTTTTCAATTACTTTTTCTATCTCCCGAATTTCTGTTAAACTGAGTTGGCAACCCTGTATGTAACACGTCCGCCGATGAGCAGAATCAGACGCTCTATTCCAGTGATTCTTAAACTTTAATCATTAGTGACCATTTTCTATCTTGTCATGGCAGCCCCGGACCGAGGAAGGGAGCTGCTTTCAAGTTTTCTTATGTACAAAAAAATATTATGCGTTATGCTCATGTATCTATTAATAAAATACACATAAAAATTGTTTTCGTTACACTTTAATTTATATTAGATTAGCACCGATTAATGTTATGCATTAAATTATTATTTGCTAATAATTCCAGTCTGTTTAAAAACTACTTATACAGACTTAGAATGTTGGCCTTCATTATCTTTCCAAAATAGCTGCACTTCCTTTAGCCAAACAATCTTCAACAGTCAAAGAAACACCAAACAGAAGTATGTTAAGATTCACCTATCAGCTACCCCATTCATGAGTCTATCACTCTCGATGAAGAGTCAAGAATCAAGCTCAAGAGTCAGAGCTCTACTAGAAATATTAATTATTGCATATAGTTACATGGGAAGACTCAGCAATTGGCTGCCATGTTTTGGAGTCTGCCTTTATCAGCTAGAGAGTGAGAAAAATAAAAAAAGTAAAATTAAACTCACTGTTCAGGCACCACGTTCTTGAGCCAAGGACTCTTGAGGGCTTCCTCTGCGGTAATTCTTTTATCAGGATCTAATTCCAACATCCTGTCGAGAAGTGTTAGGGCGGCGGAAGGCATAAAGGCGAACTGTTCCCGTACACATCTCTTGTGGAATCGTTTAGGGCGGAGCGCCCCCCATAATGGCAAGTTCACGACGTTGGGCCAAACGCCCGGCGCCGGAGTCCCACAAACGCGTGATATCATCTCCAATTGCATCATCTCAACGTTGGCCTGTGAAAATTACGCATCATATACAGGGTTAGATATATAAACACTTTAGTACATATAAAAATAACAATTTACAGAGCCATAAAATGTGGTTAAAGTGGGCAAAGATGGTCTTATCGCCGAAAGACTAAATGACGTCATAATCATTTAGTAATGGTAATTTCTTTAACTTTTTTAACTTTAACTTTATTTTAAATGAAGACAAGTGCAAAGAAGTTATTTAAAAGATAAAATTAAAAAAACTAAAGGTCGCGTTGCTGTGAAGCAGGAGGAGTAGGGGCGAGAACAAACCACTTGAAGCAAACGGCTAATAATCATAAGCAAGCTACTTAATAATAATGATGTGCAGAGTAATAAACATTCGAGCCATAAATTAAATATTATTTTTTATTAAAGGTAAAAATTACCTAGTTAAGTAACATTTTAACAAAATGTTTTGTATTTATTCTTAAACCTAGTAGAACGAACATTGTTATTTATTATGTTGGCTATTTAGTCCAGCGAGATTGCTAGTGTTTTACAAATAACTATGTTGTTATCTAGTTGAAGAATTTGTTAACTTAAATATTTTTAGATAGTAAGGGTGTGAAACCTTTAGGTGTTTCAATTCTTCTTGATCTATATGACAAAAAAGGATAATAATTGTCGATTTTGTTGGTATAGTTCAATTCTTTAGACAATAAACATCAGTCAATCACTTCACTCAATCAATAACAACTTTAAAAGACATTGACACAAAAGTTGAAGTTAATACATACAATAATAAAACAAATTCCTCTTAATAACCTCAAAAAAATTACCTGGAAAAGCGGATGTTTGAGGAAGAGTTCTCCTAATATACATCCCATGGACCATACATCTACTGCGGGCCCGTATCGTTCTTCACCCAGTAACAGTTCAGGCGGTCGGTACCATAGAGTGATGACCTTATTCGTATACGGCCTCTGTCGATCCTCCGCTGACCACAGACGAGCTAAACCGAAGTCCCCGAGCTTCACTTCGCCCCTGCAAACATTTCAATAAAATTAATACCTCTTCTACACCAAGTAATTGTTTTGGCAATGGCACAAATTAATGTGTACTTATTATTATATTCTTTATTGTAAATATTAAAGGTCACTTTTAATTCATCAAAACAAACATTCAAAATCTATTTGCATAACTAGAAACGATCAACGTATACTACAAAACTCCATAACAGGTTTATTATCAAAACAAAAATGATATATATCGAATTTATATACTTACTTGTTATTCATTAATATATTACTGCATTTAATGTCTCGATGTAGGAAATTCTTCCTGTGGCAGTATGCAAGTCCATCCAACAGTTGTCGCATAATAGACGCGTTGTGGGATTCCGTGAAATCTACCATCTTGGATTCTAATAGTCCCATCAGATCGTGATCCATGTATTCGAATACCAAGTAAAACGAGCCTTTGTCCTGTAGCAATATGTACATTTATATAAGGGGATCAATCGTGTATTACGTTAGATACGTATACGCAGAATTTTAGCAAATTTAATGAAGAACTTTTAAATTGCTTACTTTTTTTAAATATGTATATTCTAAAATACTGTAAAAATGTTACAACCTCACATAATAGAGATTGAATTCGAATCCATGTTGAGATTAAAATCTCATCATATACCATGTGTATTTTCTTTGTATATTTAAATCAATACTCATACAATGTATTTTATAATAAAATAACGTGTTAATACTAATAAGTTGCATATAAAACAAGTATACCTTGCGGAAGTCCATCGCGTCCTGTTTGTCTGTGACGATCTCCCGCAGATTGACGATGTTCTTGTGGTTGAGTTGCCGCAGGATTTTGATCTCTCTCACCGCTGTAATAGGGAAGCCCTCCTTCTCGTTTTCCAATCGCACCTTCTTGAGCGCCACCAACTGACCGGTGTTCTTATCGCGAGCTTTATACACCTGACCGTATGTACCTTCGCCTATTTGGGTGATCACCTAATTGAAAAGATCATATATTCTTATTTGTTTTATATCCAAAGGCTACATCCCTAATTAAGTTTATATATACAAGTAATGTGACAGTATAATGAATGTCAAATTGTGTGCGTGATGTAGCTATAAACTAATGAAAATTTTAATGGATGTTTGTGCAACTAGTTGAGTGATATTAAAGTGTATTTAATAGCGGTGGTGTAAATGGGTGTAGACAGTAAATAAAAATAAATACTTTTCTTCCGATAGTGTTTAATATACTTATTACCTATAATAACATTTTTATGCTTATTATATTTATAATGTTACTTAAATTAATTAAAAAAAACGAGTGGCGTCACACCCCTCTAACTCATATCATAACTTGGATAATTCAACCGGATACATAGAACGATATTGGTTTGAAAGACTCCAATGACAAAAGTGGTGGCAAATTTTAACTTGTATGAATAAACTTTTTAAATATTGTTTTTATATATAGTTAATGAATATCTACAGAATAAAAATATTTTAAAAATTTGTCTACACTCCTATTAGTGTAGGTAGTGTGATAGTGAATTGGTGCCAGTGTTATTGTGCATGGCAGTGGCGTGATAGTGTATTGGCAGTGGTGTAATAGTGTATTGGTGGATGTATGACAGTGTATTGGTCTTGATGTGATAGTGTATTGGGGTGATGTGATTGTATATTAGGCGTGGCCTGTTAGTGTATTGACGGTTTTATGATAATTTATCGGTGGTAGTGCGATAGTGAATTGACGGAAGTATGATAGTGTATTGACGGTAGTGTTAAATCGTATTAATGGAGTTGTAGTGATGTATTGAGCGTGATGTAATAGTGTATATTTAGGGACGTCATTAGAGAAATGTATTTTGGTTTGGCATTAGTGTGATAGTGTATTGGCGATGGCGTGGTCATGTGATATTCGATTGTGTTATACTGCATCTAGAATGGTGTGCTGACAGTGTTTGGTATGTAGTACCTGGAATCCATCGACGCATTTCTCGCCCCAGTCCTTGGCGTGGTGGGCGGGCGTCGCCACCGCCACCACTTTTGAACCGCGTCGCTTCAATATCCGCGGCCGCTTCAACTTGCAACCGGCCTATTTTAACAATTAATTATAAATATAATTTCAATATTATATATTCAGTCGAAACTGTTATAAGCACTTGTGAAAGTCCACTGCTATACCGTCGTTTCGCAAAACTACAGCGCGATACCTTGAAGAACTGAGAAGAACCGGCTGGGTTAACAGAAAGGACAATTTTTCTTTGAAAATTTAATCCATCAATTACATTCAAATTTTCACGAAATACAATAGAAACCAACTATTGTATGACTATTATTTACTTTTCTTATTATGTCGTAAATGGAATTTTAATTACATGTTGCTTTAAGATAATATTGAATTTTAATAATGTTAAAGAACTGGCTGAAAAATTACATTAAAATTGACCAACACTATATTCTATGGAAACTCGTAAAGCAACCATTAATTTAAATATTATTAAATTAAAAAAAGTAGGCAATAATGTTAGCATACTCACGTTATCTCTGGCGGCGTTACGGGAACTGAACACGTGCGAGTAATGATCCCGACGGGATGCGGGCGGCGGCGTGGACCCGTCCAACTCATCACCACTCAACTCCTCAGAACCGGGGATCACTGTAACATAACCTCATATTACAGTAAGTTGCCGTTACGCTAGGAACAAACTAACGGCCATCTTAGTTCAGATTTCGCTTCAATTTCAGTGTGCAAAAAAAGGTACCAAATAATATCTTTATAAATCAACGCTTTATCGTAGTACTATATAACAGATTGCGGCACATTGACAATTGTTATTGAATTGCATTAATGTTACGACATAAGTCATCAAATTCATATTTAGTAATTAAGAAGAGAATATTAATAATAAATCCCTAAATAAATGTAAAAAGTGAAATAATCCCAAAAATATATTTTATTTGTTATCAGTACTAAACACAAATTTGTATACTGTATAGTAAAAGTAATTGAGTGGAATATACTTTAATGTTTAAACACGCTTTGTGATGCTTCGCTTCCACTTCAATGAAAATTGAGCCAATAGACCCAATGGGCTTTTATGACTTTTTCACTTTTTTTTTGACTATATAAAAAGTATAATATGAAGAAAATTTAAGTATAATCAAACATCTTTATAGCTTAGTACATGTAGGAATTACAGTCATACAAAGCGCTAACACTAGTTATTGATAATGTAACAGTGAATAAAATAAGCTATAATATCACTAGCATAATAATCATAGCAACTGCTATTTAATACCGAAACAACACGCCATTTGTATGGAGAAATGTTTCAAAATATTACCCGGTGGCATTGGTAAGTTCATGATGCCTGTCCGCTTCTTCTCAGGCTTGTCTGGTTTCTTGACAGGGCTGGGCGATGGTGTGCTCAGTGGACTGTCGTTTGCTAATGTTTTTAAGTCTTCCACCTGTAACAACATTCAAGATTTATAAGATTAATGTTTCTTGTGAAATATATTTGATGAATCCTTATTTGAAAGTTCTTTTTTTATTAGAAATAAATTATATAATGTTATACAGCAGATAAGACTTGTTTAAATTGTTCGTCTTTTTTGTAGGTGACTAGCTTTCCGTCAGCGGCTTTGCCCGCGTGGTCTTGTATTATACATAAAAACCTTCCTTTTGAATCACCCTATCTATGAAAAAAACCGCATCAAAATCCGTGGCGTAGATTTAAAGATTAAAGCAAACATAGGGACAGAGAAAACGACTTTGTTTTATACTATGTAGTGATTTCTATCTTAATTATAGTATACTACCACATTTTTTTGTATTGTTTTTATGTTATATTGTTGACCTATTTATTTTATTTTAATTTATTTGGGACACAAAAAAGTCAAATTACAATTCAATACTTAATTGTAGCATTACTTATAAGGTCAATATTAGTTATCCCCATAAAATAACAAAATAATCAACTTCATTTGAAGGTAAAACAATATAGAGAAATGTAAGTGGCCGAGCGCATCAACTGTAACCAATATTGCTATTAAAAATGGACACTATTTAATATAAAATATTGCAGTATTTTGCTCTAGTCGTTCTTGTAGCTAAAAAACATCCAAAAACTAACCTAAAAAAAGGAAAATTCCGACTTTGGCTTCTAAATGCAACTGTATGAATATAAATTATTAGTCTGCTGTCATACCTGTGTATTGGGTGGCATGGGCAGTTTGGTAAGACTCCTAGGTTTGGGCGGCGGTGGTTGCGCGTGAAGTTGGAAAGTGCTGTCCACTACACTCGTGCCGGTCGCTGCTAACGCTCCGCTCGAAACGCTCGCTCCGCTGGTCGCGAGCGGTCGCGCTGGACTCATAGGTTTCTAACGAACATTTTATTTCTTTTTTAAACACTAGATAAACAGCATATCTAAAAGAAATCTGGCCAAAACCTCGTGACTAATTCATATCGTATATAAGTCGTGGCCATATCGCAGAGTTGATCATATCAAGATCCGTCCGGTCATTTCATGAAACGGTTGTATTTCATGAAACGACAACCTAAAATTGATCATATCATTTAAGTTCATACGTTTAATGATATGGCAATTCCACATTTGGTTACATCATACGTTAGCGTTATCATTTTGTGGTCTGAAAAAAAATACCTCGAAATTTACTACGATCGCTACGCTTCGCCTTAAATATCTAACCTACCATGTGACCTTCACTAATGAATCATATAGAAAATTCAGTTCTCAAAAGCTTTTATATCTTCTAATATATATTTTTTTTATTGTCCTCTGAAGTTAAATCAAAATCCTGTCTTTATCATAATCCTACGACATATCGATCAAACTATAGAATAACATTTGCAGCCGCACCTTCGTACTACACTCCTACAATTATCTCACTAAACTTAACCAAGTAATTGTTTTCCGGTGCTTGGTCACCCTACTTTCTTCAATTTCTTACATAACCTAAAAATTCAAATATATCATGTTTTATAAAGATAATGCGAGATTAGCGCCTCTAACTGGGACTAATGTAACTATACAATATACTATGTTTTAAAGTTATATAAAATTAAAATCTCTTTGATATATATACTACAAAAAAAAACATATATACTTGAAAAGTAAAAGTGCTAACTCCATAGACAATATAAAGAACTTAATATTATACTAAAATATTGAAATAACACTATAATCAATATACCTCGGCGAGTTCCGTAGAAGACACTTCACCGTTGACATCAGTAACAGGTGTGGAGGCAGGAAGCGGAGCTGAAGCGGGAGCGGGCGCGGTGGCGGGAGCGGGAGCAGGCGCGTTAGCGGGTACAGGAGGAGGAGCTGTATCAGGGATGGGCGGCAACGGGTTTGAATCGGTATCGGGCCCGGGCATCGGAATATCCACCACCTGTTCTCTACTCTCTCTACTTGCGTCCTCTTTCTCTTTCCCATTCTCGCCGTTTTCTCTTGACGCCTAGCAAAAAAAAAATAATCCCAGTCAATAATAATTAAGTGCCTCTGGTCTACGACTTACACGCATAACAAAGTCGAAACAGGTCATTCATATTTACTTACAAGTAAAATCAAATAAATCATAAATAGAAAAAAGCAGTCTCTTATGCCAACTAAATTAATAATAGATAAAAAGTGCACTAACCTGCGTCGAACTGTCTGCAGTAGCGTTGGATAGCTCATCTATGGTGAGGATCTCTGGATTATTTATGGAAGTGTTCGTCGACAGAGCACTCTGTGATTCCTCCTCCTTTTGACTTAATATCTCTTGAAGTTTCTGTGCAACAGAAGAGATATATCAGTTTGTTTTTAACTTTCGCCCCACTAGTTCTCAAAAATAATAAATGTGACCTAATTACTTTAGCTCTCTTTTGTTTATCTTTGACCAGTTCAGCGAACAGACTGGTGTCGCTGATCTTCTCCTTGAAGTCTATCTTGCGCTGCAGAACAGTGGTCGGTGGGCTGGGCGACTCATATTTAGTTCTGTAGAACAAAACAAGTGATGAAACTCTTCATAATATAACACATGTCGAAGCAGCTTTTTTTACTACTTTAATGATATATTAAATATATATCAATTAATATAATTATATATCAGTATTTCAAGAAAATAAGGTTATTACTTGACATGACAGGATTTGATGTTTCCCCAAACCTTATAACTATTTAATTCATAACAAATGGGTGATACCTGTTGTTTACATGCAGTAAAATTACTCAATTCCAAGCGATACAAATTCTGACTAATCAGAATGGTTCAAGTGACATCGCATCGGTCTACACATTAACTTTTATTGGAAACCCATCTCATATTTTACACCTTAAATAGTTAAAAAAAAAGTTCCAAGTAAAATCCTATGTTCGGTCGTCATCGGAATTATTAAGTCCTCTGTATGCAAACGATGACACATGACGCGTCATACAAGTAGAATTCTACTGTAGTGTAGTTGGGATTGCCTTCCATACTCTACAGAGTATTGTACTCTATATTATGTAGTCGTACTCCATAATACTAATGGAGGAAGGAGGAAACTAAAATATTTCTCTTTCGCTCTTTTATAAACAATGTTTATTATACTAGTGCCCGTCACGCATATAATACATAGCTATTTATCGTAACCATAAAAAAAACAAAATACTTTTTTTAATGTTTCAATAAATGCAACTCTTATTAAGTCCGAACTCTTTATCTCCTTAGTAATGAGAGATACTCCATTGGCAACCTGCTAAGTGTAATTTTTATTAAGGTCACTTTTATTTAAGCAATAAAGCTTAAATTAATAAATAAGGTGATAGAGTAAGGCGGAATTACTAATATTATAAATAGGAAAGATTTGATTCTTTAATAGCATCGAACAGGCACCGAAACTACAGGTCCCATTAAAAAAAAACACCTACGAGTAGTTTCATCACACGGGGTTGACATAGGCTATATTATATGCGTGCAAAGTCGCGGGAAAACAGCTAATCTAAATATATATAACTCAAAGGTGACTGACTGACATAGTGATCTATCAACGCACAGCCCAAACCACTGGACGGATCGAGCTGAAATTTGGCAAGCAGATAGATGTCATGACGTAGACATCCGCTAAGAAAGGATTTTCATCATTTCTATCCCCAAGTGGATAAAATAGGGGATAAACTTTGTATGAAAATGGCTGAGACTTTGCACGCATAAAGCTACTACGACGTAAGCATCCCCTAAGAAAGGATTTTCATAAATTCCACCCCCAAAGGGATAAAATAGGGGATGAAATTTTGTATAAATCTTCTTAGATTTTTGACTGATTGAACTGAAATTAAAGATTGAAGCTACTATGATGATGACGTCCACTTAAATAGGATTCAGATAAATTCAACCCCCATGGGGATAAAATATGGGATGATGGAGGATGTAAATGTATTAGTTTGAACCTATCGGTACCTATTGGAACGAATAAATGAATATTCGTTAGAAATGCTGCTCAAAGTAACTTTACCACGCGGACGAAGTCGCGAGCAAAAGCTAGTAATATATAAATGAGTAGTAGACATTTGTACCTGTGCCGATCTCTATCTCTGTCAGTGTCGCGGTGTCTGGGACGATGCCGCGGCGGTGACGCAGTGGAGCCGCGCCGCCGGCGTGACCCTGAACGGCGCCGCTTCAAAGAACTACGACTGTGTGACCTAGATGACAATAATAAATGTCGTTACAACGCAGGATACACGTTACAACAATAACAAAAATAATATCATAGGAAAAGTAGCAAATATAAATATAAAAGTATCATTAATATAAGTAAAAGACGTCCTGAACAAGTGGTATGGGAAAAATATTTTTGGACGATTCAAAAGTGCTTGTAACTAGCTTACTTAAATAAAACATTTTCATTTCATTTCATTTCAGTAAAAATCTTAAAATAACTTAAATTTTCAAAATTCCGCCCCTCTAAAACTAATATTATTCTCTGCATGCATAATAATTCTCCAAGTTCTGCTATGAGTAAGAGGGGCGTGACTTCACGCGCTGTTTGCGGTCACGTGACAACGAGCATAAAATATTAGTTTTTTTATAATTAATTTAAGCAATATTATAAATATAATAAGCATACAATCATGATAATCAATAATAATATTTTCGTTTGCTGTCTACAATTCAGGGAAGGTCAGTGCAAATCTGACGGAATATCAGTCAAGCGTTCTGACATTCTGCGACAGAATAGATAAAAAAAGACAGAATGTCAGATATCCCTAAAAGAGCCAAAATCAAATATTCGCTTTCAAAGTTGTGCTTTCGAATCGTTACATAATTTATCTGCTTACATTTGCTATATAGCCAAATTACAATCGTGTAAATAACGTTTTATCCTTAACAAGTATAAGCGTAATATTTTATTTTACCTTAACGACTTACCTATGCGATGGCTTGATTTCACGATGCCGATCGCGATTGCGACTGTGGTGCCGACGACTGCGACTGCGACTGCGGCTGCGACGCCGATGAGACCGTTTCGGTGTGTATTCCCGCCCACGAACCTCGTGCACAGGCGAGTCTGAGCGTTGTAATTTATCTTTTATTCAATCGAGCTAACTTGTGTAATGTGTGGTGAATTTAATATGGTTTATAGCAAATATGATTTGATTTGTGACGAATGTGATGCAACTTGTGACGAATGTGATGCAACTTGTGACGAATGTCATGTGATATGCGATGAGTTTGGTGGCGAGTGCATTGCGAGTGATGAATATTGCATTTTTTAACATGTACTATGTCTGTCTCACTTCCTCACCTGAAACCATGATAGGCGATTGAGGCGCCCTCTCGTGCCAGTAATCCCTACGACTGCGCTCGTACTCGGGTTCTGGGTCCGAGTCTATCGTCACCGTGTCATGGTAGGGTGGTACCGACGGAGTGTGAGGCGTTGTCGACTTCTGTCTTCGCCTATTTACACACATAAAAGACAATTGTAACTCAAACATTAATATTTGACGCATTTAATATGTGATATATAAAAATCAAGCTAAGCTAATTTTTATTTGAAAAGCCATAGAAATATATGTTTACCTCTTTTCACTATTATTGAAGGCATGAAACAATAAAGGTTTTATGTTATTTTATTTAATGCTAACAGTATTTTTAAGTAAAAAAATTAAGTAGAGTATTGATCTAACAGTGATTCATTGGATTGCACTGGTAATAAGTGTATTATTTTGTGTTACTATGGTGAAATGGCAATAATTTTCAATATTTTTCATTATGCCAAATGAAGTACATATTACATCACATCTATGTATAGAAAATTATGAATATTGAATTATATTTTAATTTCGAAATTAAGACTATTTTGATAAAGATTATGTAATTTTTAATGCAATAGTAACTAAGTATGTAATATAAAATAACACAGTAAACATTCAATATTGACGTTGACACTCTCCATTGAATGCATAATATGTAGTTTCAATACTCAGTTTTAAACATTGGTTACATTACCATTGTTTTAAAATACAAAATGTCTTTAAATTTATTCCTTGCTTATAGACCATATCCTTAAACAATAGATATCATGAATACTAAGACAAAACATAAATTTCAACAAGATAAAAGTTCAAAGTTCATGTCAAATGCATAGTGCATTATTATGTTTTGTCTTCACTCTTGAATTGATTGTATGCTGGTACATATTTGTTTAAGAAAAAATAAAATAAAAAAGAAAACATATTGAATTTGTAATTAGATCAAAATATAATAATGTAACTCACCTAACAACTATTGGAGATCTATCCCGATGTGGAGAAAAGGGAGGCATCGGATTATGGTGTAATGATGGTTCTCTATGTAGAGGCGCACGGTGTCGCGGCGACAAGTCGTGCCTGTCGCGCAACAGCGGTGGCGTCGTCGGCGACACCGGCGAGCATGAGCCGTTACGGAGCGGCGACGACGCCTTCTCCCACTCACTGATCGGCACCTGTTCGTACCGCTGCGGAGTAACGCGCTGCGCCTCCGCCGGCAGATTGTCGTCGGGCGACACGCTCTCCAAACTCGCAGACCGAGACGCATGCCGACTCTTCTTCTTCTTCTTTTTCTTATCTTTCTTCCGCTTCTCTTTCTTCTTCTTATATCTGTCCTCGAACTCTGCCTCCTCTACATATTCGAGGCCGCGGCGCTTCCTCGAAGCTGCCGAAGAAGAATCATGCGTGAGAATGTAGTCGTCGGCGCGGCGGCTGGTCGTGGTAACCGATATGGTCTTGTTGTCGACAAACGTTCGGATCGGGTGCGAGCGACGCGTGCGGTCTAGGTCGTCGGCGATGTGCCTCCCTATAGAGCTCGCCTCGCTCTCGATCTCGCCCGCCTCCGGGGCCGAGAGCTCCTCTGAGCTCACATCGGAATACTCCACCAGAGGTTTGACAGAGTTGATGGTAGCATATGATTCGTGTGTACCGCTGTGACTCCTGTACTTCTTGTGCAAGCGCTTCTTGTGCTTCTCCTTGTGATGCTTGCTGTGCCTCTTATCGTAGCTCCGTTCCATTGCCGACAATATGGCGGTGAGCCCGCCCTAGTTATGCCTTTTCACATTACATCAACTGTAACAAATTAAAATAGTTTTTTAAAGTAGCTCAATAAATTGGACCATTTGTTAAATTCTTCTAATCTACGCTACTATTTCGATAAGCAGATAAAGCTAATATTAATGAAAAACAAAAAAAAATTAACCATTTTTACAAACTAATGTAAATTTATATGGAGTTATAAATAAGCACAAGTACAAAATGCTCATTGTTTTATAATTATATTAATTATACTTAAAAATGCATTAAATCTATAATTAAAAATCACAATAAACACACACTTCAATACTTATGATCATTAGATCATAACTTTATGAATGAATATAACCCTAAACACCAATCTTTGTTATTATATGTGTACATAATTTATAGTAATTGAATAATTTATATCTCAATTATTTGCAAAATAAGTAACTTTAACTCACTACATAACAATAAACATATAATTATGTAAAAAATGAAGAAATTCAGTACTGAATCAAGACAGTTCCAACAATGCACATGTACTAATCGTAAACTGTTAATAACACAAGCAAAATGTAACATAAATATCATCAACATTTGACTGTCAAGAGTTGACAAAACGGTCCACCATGCAATCTTCTGGCACTTCATCAACTTCTGCTCCAGTTGTAGATCTGTTGAGTTTAACCATAACATAAGGGACTGCAACATACTTAAGCAATGTTACATATTTAATTGTCAAAGGAAAGAATCCCTAAAGAAGCATATTAATTGTCCACTTGGCATTTTGATTTGGTAGTAACAGAAACCTAACTTAATATGAATTATTATAATTTATCAGTTTTTAAGCAGTTTTCATCAAGAATAAATATGAATCTTTATTAATTTTAACTAAAATATTTTTTGCATACCATAGAATCAATGAAAATATCTAAATCACAAATCTTCCTATATAATTGTTATGACAGGTTTGTTGTATGTGCCCATTCCAATACACCGACTAATGTTATAGTCTGAAATCTATAGTAATATTATAAATAGTTAAGATTTGATTGTTTGTTTGTTTCCATCTAATATGCTCTGAAATGACTGGACTGATTTTAAAAATTCTTACCCCAATGGGAAGCTACATCATATGCTGTGAACATAGGCTATTTTTTATCCCAAAAAACAGCAAATAAAGAGATGAAAATGGGAGTGGAAGTTTGAATTAGGAACTAAAACATTACCATTGTTTTAATCAATGTGTCATTATAATTATATCCAAGTCATGATATAATTCGATATACAATAAAAAGTACCCTAGGGACCATGCGGACAAAGCCACTGGTAAAAAGCTATAGTATATTATATAATCACTACTAATCTATATAATTTTAAATACAATTAAATCTTTAATTAAAAATGAACTTTGAAACTGATATCTAGCTAATCAGGAATATATTTAGCCAGTTAGTTAAGTATTATGAATCGAATGATAACTTATAACCAGCAAATTTTTAATAAAGGAATAATTTGACAGTAAACAGCTGATCTAGAACATAGGTATTCATTAGAAGCAAATATATCCTTTTTTGTTGACTGTACATGGCATAATAAATTATGCATGTTAACAGATACCGCACAAGGTTAGATACAAAATAAAATAAAACAGCTAAACAAATATTACCAAAAAAAACAGTTAATTAATCTGCTGACGCTACTCATAAAATGCCATGCATCAAGATCTTATTTAAGAACAAATGTAGAAGAATATAAAGAAGATATACCTATGGGATATTTACTTATATATCCGATTTATATACAAAAAGAAAAATTTGCAAATTTATCGTCACATAGAAACACAAATATCGCGTCACAAAGAAATACAAAAACATGCACATGCTAAGAAAATAACGGTGAGTACTTACCACACTAATAAACGGACGTGCGTCGGACACTAACACTTTTGAATTATTTTTGCAATGTATTTTATTGTGCAAGCTAAGGATCGATTTTAATTTGCAGTTTTTACTCTTTAGATTGACTTTCTGCCGCCAATACAGTGAAATAATTAATATTTATGTCTTTTAAAGACTTATTTTGCTAATCATGATCATAAACAGTGCATTATTCATCTAATTACATCGGATTCTTTTTAGGAATTCGAGAACGTCGATTTCAACAATCAGTCGGCCATTTGCTTTTCTTTCATCATTTTATAGTGATGTATGAATCATTTGTCACATGACGTAAAATTCTTTTATCGATAGAATATTGATTAAAAAAAATAGAAAATAATATTTTTTATACTTAATAAAAATAAAGCACTCTTAATGAGAATTTATGAAGAGTACAAATAGCATTCAAATTAAGGACTCAACTGACCGAAATAACTAATTTTACTATCCACTAATAAATATATAGTTAGCAGGTGTTTCAATTTTGTTTTAATAATATTTGATAATGCATGTCTTATCCAGTTTTTATTATATTAAGTATACTATATACTTAAATTATATCTATTTTAATGGTTCAAATACTCTGACAATTAACTAAACACTTCCAATCCAATATTTGAAAATATTCCAAAATCATAATTGCACACACAAATATATCTAAAAAAAAAATATTTTAAATATTCAAACTACTTATCTAAACTATATCTTAGCTATACTAAGTAAAAAAATATCCCCCAGATTATTGCCAACAGGCAAGGTGCCCACAAGGCTGCAAGCGTTTCCTATATATATCATAATCTACAACAATTAACCATTCAAAGTAGGCCCAATACTTTATTTATATGTGAAGCTATAAACCCAGTTGCATAAACGCCAATTAAGGTACAATTACAACTTAAGATCTTATGAATATTTTAATTATAATATCACTTTACTTATAATCGTATTTGCCAACCTTCACCTCTTTTTTCTTGTACATTCGTTAGTATTAATTTCCTTTAAAAAAACTTTAGTATACAAAACTTCTTAAAAATGACCGCAAGTTTTTAAAGTTTGTACATCTAATTTACGGCGCTTATTTATTTAAGATACAAAACTCAAATAGATGAAATAACCTCTTAATCATTAGTTCACTTACACCCGGTTTCGGAATTGAGAATTTAAAGTTAAGAACGTCTCAAACTGTTCTTAAACGTAAGGCTTTCGTTCCCAAATTTTAGTTTTTTTAACTCAAGCATAAATACTTATTTTACTTTACATAAAACTATAGAATTTTAGTTTAATTACCGTAGTAATGATTTTTAATTTTTGAAGATCATATCCTTTTTACATTTATTTTTGTTACCTTTTTTTATGTTTACGGATTTTTTTTTATATATTACATACTGAAGTAAATAATCTATAAAAATTAAATTATTAATACGATAATCATTTCAATTTATCGATAACTCTGTGCAACACTGCGTTGGCAATCCAAAGGCAGTCCATCGTGGATGATGGAATAAACAACATAGAATGTTCCTCACGCGTGACGTCATACGCGCGTAATTTAAAATAATAACTTTTGGTTGTGCAAGTATCAGATAATTTAAACATTATTTAGATCTGACGACGAATATAAATATATTAAAGCGCTAATTATATTCTCTTGGAGTATTACGAAACCTCAACCTCTCTACAAATTTTCATATATATAAAAAAAATCTAAATTCTCATGAAAATTGGATGAAAGAAAGTGGTCAAACGTCAAACTGATATTTCGTCAAAATAATTGTCTATGGATACCTAGCAACGTATTCATATGGCGGCGCCAGGGGACTATATGCCCAGTTGGCCGAGTGCAGGAGAACACTGCCATAGATTAATATTGTATTAAACACTGCGAGGGAGGCCCGAGGGATCAGCCATATGACAAGCCCTAGGAGACCCAGGTGGGAGGACCGGGCAGTGTTCTTTATACATATACACGGACGGTAAGGGGGAGATGATTACAGATTAGCGCATCCCCTCCGTCTGCAGACCGGCATGCAGGGCAGACCTGCCATCCTGCCACCCTGTGGTATTATGCCCAGAGACGGTCCCCCGTTTCGGAAAAAGGCAGTCAGATACCCTGGTCTTTTCCTATCCATGAGCGACCAATACTAAAGTCGCTTAACAGTGCTTTCGAAGACCGATAGCGCTAACCACTGCAGATTCGAGCTTCTCGTGTTAATATGTGTGTAAGTTTCAATGTGGTCAGTCAATCATAATCAAGTCTATAAATACATGCATTAATTTTGTGTATTTGGGTGTAAAAAGCAAAAGCATTATGAGATTACAGTGGACCCCCGGTAATCCAGCCCCTGTCTAATCCGGCGCCACTTATAATCCGACATGTCCGAATATTTTTTGGGAGATACGTACTGCATGATTGAACAGGTCACAACTTGTGCGCGCCACCATTTTTTCGCTCGACGTGTAGGTTTTGTTTTGATTCGAATTGCTTAGTTTGAATTTGACTACAGGTGATAGTGGTCCGCGGCCTTGCGTGCGCGCGTTCATTGTTTACCTACTGTTTATTAATTGTGTATTACGTACCTAGTAATGTCGTCACAAGCCCACAAGCGAAAGCACAAAACTGACAATTAAAGAAAAATCTGATATTTTAGACCACTTTAATCAAAATGAATCTTTCAGTTGTTTGGCAAGTCAATACGGCGTAGGCCGATCTACAATTTATGACATTAAAAAAAATATATGAATATTTTCATGCTTCATAAATTGATTGATTCAATTTTTTTTCATAATTTCAAATTATTTTAGTACCTACGTAAGTTAGTTATTAATTTTTGTAAGTTCTAGCATTAATCACTTTTACATTATATTAAAACATAAGTTCTATATTATGTTATTTAATTTTCCTACTAGATTCGACATACATAATGAAGTATGATGTGTACTTCAGAGTACTTATAACATATAGATTCTCATCACTGATCTGTAATTTGTCGAATTACAAGGTACTCCTTTGTAAAAAATCCGAACTATAGGGGGTCTTAGAAAGTACTCTATAATCCGACAAATTTGATGGTCCGATACTGCCCTGCAAAACATTTGTCGGTTCACCGGGGGTCCACTGTATTTATTAAATTATATATTACGTTGATAGCAAGTCAATGCAGTACATTAACGTAATATATTGTATTTTGTTTAACTTTTTTAATAAATTAATGGTTACTAAACATGACTAAATAACAATCTTTAAAAAGTTTTTAAATCCATTGTTACTGTTAAAATTTCGTAACCCATTTAATTTAATTTGATAAAATATTTTAAAACTCTTTCACTAATTTGAATTCTGTTTCAAAGTGACGACTGAATTCAACTGAATTTTCAGCCATTTTCTACTTCAAGTATCTATTGCTGAGATATTTTTGTTGTATTTTTTATTTGTTAGAACACTGTAACAATAATTTGATTTGAACACATACAAGCACATCATCCACATATTACATGATTCCATGGTAAATATTTAAATTTACGAGTACAATGTTGTTATTTTGAAAAAATACCACAAGATGCATTTTGATGAAAATTTTGCCTAGTTTATGGAGTTATTGAATTGAAGATGCGAATTATTTATACGTAAGTAATGGCTCTGACACTTAAAGAAATACCAGTTGAAAACGATTCAACAAATAGGCTTAATAATAATAAATACTATATTTTTGTAATTAATATTAACGAAATTTATGTACATTAAATTGACACTATACTATTGTCTCCACAAACATTTTTAGTTTAAAATTTATATTTTTTTTATTATTGCAATATGAAATAACGAGCCACAGTTGTAGCTATCCCTCTCGGTTCAGATAAGCTTTTTGTAAGAAAAGTAATGAAAAGTCCTGTTTGTAATATATTACGTCCATGGTTCGCCTATCTAGCGTACATGGACCATTTTGAAGAGGGATTTTACACTAGGTCGGTCATATTATGTGAAATTCCTTTTTTTACTGTGGCAACACCTACAGACCAACAGTTTGCGTGAGATTTGCGTCCTCAGTGTAGATGATTTAGATTTTGTTTTTTAAAAATAGTATCCTATAATATTATTAAAAATCTAAATGCTTTGGCGATTAAAGGTACTTACACTATATTCTGAAAAAATATTTATTTTGTCTTGGTTACGGAAAGTTACTTACAATGACCCCTGAGTTCACGGTTGCATTTGCTTGCGCATCGTGATATTACCCAATTTGGAAAAGAAATTCCAAACATTCTTTATTGTTTACATTGTTTACAATCTTCGGGCCTAAATTATATACCTCTGACTATCGGATACAGACTCGATGTCGGCACTAAATTGTGCTGTATGGTTATGATATGATGGTAATTTCCAAGTGAAGGAACCTATGTGCAGCGTGGTGACACTGCTGATGCTGTGAATTGTAAATATGTAAATAAACATGGACGATATAAACGTGAAAATAGAGGAATCTTTGAAGGACCAGTCCGTCGCGGTGGATTCTCCGTCTGTGGTGATTGGCGGTGATGAGGTGGATCCATTGGCAATAGAAGAAACCGTACCAGGCGAGGATAAGGTGGTGGTAGCTGAGAATGTAGTCTCTGAAAAGGATAACGTGGGAAGCTGTGATGAAAATACCAAAGATGAAAAATTAAGTGAGAATGTTGCTGAGGTTACGGATAATTCAGTGGCTTTACAGGCTGAAAAGATAAAAGGTAAATTTAATTGATAATGTCAGATTTCTACCCTCATTATTTTTATGTGATAACTGTGATATTGATTATGTGGGTATGATTTTAAGTAAGTGTTAGAGGAAAGAATGTTTTTTAATTACTAAATATTTTTAGAAGAATTATTGAAAGAAGACAGTAACTCATTGGGGAGTGCAGAAGAGGTCATAGGAAAATCACAAATACAGAATGATACAACTACACAAGTAGAGAGTATTGGACCAGCTAATAATAAATCTGAAGAGAAAGAGTCTGCAGTTGAAACTGTTAAAGATCCCGAAGTTATTGTTCAGGTATAAATCAGGTCTTTTACGTATAGGGTTAAAAAAATAAAATGTTTACAATAAAAGTATTTTTCTTTCTTTCTTTACATTATTGCAAATAATATGTATAACAATGTTCATATTATTACAGTAATTGTTTTAAACATAATATTAATTTAAGAATTTATTTGTTTATTAAAGTAATTCAACAAAAAAATTGCCTAAATACACTAAATAGTTCATGAGTCAATTTAACAAATCTCACTAATTCGGCATGAAAGGGTTTGGGTGCTTAACTGCAAGAATAATAATTTGAGTTCAGTACAGTGTACATAGATTACAAAACAGATAAATTGTCTAACTATACACAAAAGCAATGTTTCAGTGAAATCTAGATTCAAGATAATTGAAGTTTTGTACAAGTATCTTTTTTTCGATGGTTTTTGTTGATTAAATTGTTGCCTGAATATTTAATTTTGAATTTATATATTATATTAGTAATATTTTTTATTGAAAAAGTTAAATATGAAAACTGTGATAGCACTCACTGCTTAGGAATCATACATTTAGTATTTGAATTACTGCTTTTGTTTTGGTCACCCATTTTATGATTGGCCCTTGAGAATATTGCTTAACTACAATATTGCGGACGGAAGGCACTAAGTGTTGCATTATGTATCTTCTTTTTGGGGTAATGTTACGATTATGTCTATAAATAATTAATTATTATTTAACATAGCATCTCCCTTCTGGACCGATACAATCACAATCACAACCGCAGCCGATAGTAGCTTGTCCTCCTAAAGAAGAGCCTAGAAGAACATCATTAGACAACTCAAAAAACGAATTGAAAGCTGAGCCTGATGTAGATATGACTGATGTTGTTGAGCTTGAGGAAAAAGCTGAAAATAAGGGAGAGCCAAAGCCAAGTCATAGTAAGATACAATCAGTTAACGGAGATGTTGCAAAGAACCATAAGGTATTTTTTTATATAAACCAATCTTTCTTAAATTATTTATATTGTAACACACTTAGAATAAAATAGTGGAAGGTAGTATGTGGGTCACTTCGATTAGGTCCTGGTTGCCTAATTTCACTTGGTCACAATCAGCAAGCGGCTTAAAGCATATGTGTTATGCTTAAAGATATGACTTCACTCATTGTTTTGATTGATATTTTGCCAAGCGAATTAGAATTACTCCAGAACATGACGACATACATTTTGGTAGCACATCTGTCTCGCTCACGCTATACTCAAGACAAATTGATTTATCACTGTCATTTAGATAGTATTAGAATTTTACATTAATTATTTGATTCTGAAGCATGAGTTAGGTAAATGGTGGTTGTTTTGAAGAATTATAACATGATCTTAATAAAAATTGAAGCTTGTACCTTTTCAATAAATAATTCTAGCTAGAAATTTTTATATTAACATACTGTTGTAAGTAATTTCTTATTAATTTAAATATAAACCCTTAGGAAGACAAGTCATCAAAAAGACGTATCAGTGAAGAAGTTGAAACTGAGTCACCACTCAAGAGACTCTGTCAGGAAGTAGAAAAGACATTTCCGCAACATGATACCATGATAAATGACTATATACAAACAGCCACCAAAAACAATATCGATGAAATACAGAGGCACACTGAACAATTGTTGTCTGAAATACAGACGCTTCGGGAACTGGCACAGAAGAAGGAGCAGGAGTGGAACAATATATTGCACTTAAAAAAAGTAAAAGAGGAAATATTGTTGCGACTATTGAGGAGAAAGCAAGTGCTGTCTTTCGAGAAAGCCGCTGAGGTGAACGGCTCAGATAGAACTGATCCGTTTGATTACTTGAACCAAGCGAAGAATTTAGCAATAGATAAGAGCGATGAGATATCAGGGCTGGCGATTAAGCAGCCACCTTCAACGATCAATCCAATGATGCCTACACCTGTGATGCCTGTCACAAGTCATTTTAACCCTATGTCCGGTTTGCCGCCACCCTACGACAAAGCGGCTCATATGCAGTCTATGCCGAAGCCGGTGTTCCCCCAGCCAATGATGATGGCTGGGCCAATGCCTGGCTTCCCCAGAGATATGAATGGCCAATTGTCAGCAGGGTTCAATATGCCAATGGGTCGACAAGGGCCTACTAAAGACGTGAAGTCTATTATAGCTGACTACAGACAGAGAAATCCTGAAGTGACACCCCGGCGTGGTAGACGCATGAAGTCACTTCTGAACCCGAACATGATGAATCCGCCGAGACCGATCGCACCGAAAATGGATAACATGAACAGTTTAAGTAATCTCAATATGCTGTTCAATAATTTGGATATGGTAAGTAGCTTTACCATTTTATTTATCTAATACTAGACTTATCAGCCGAGTTCGAACATCGGTTTAACATTCAGCTCTAACCAAAGCAGAAGCAGTCGCCCGAATTGCGAAAGGTCGTGGGTTCGAATCCCATATCAGAGTGCCAGGGACAAGGTGGATTTTATTAAGTATTTTTCATGAAGAATATTTCTCTAAGAATATTTCATTGTATATGGTACCAACTGATCATTTTTTTTTCAAAAATCTTCACATAGAAGTTATGGCATCGTGTCGTGTCATTAACCTTTGCGATCGCAACGTAACGATTGCTTTCAATGTCGAGACTGCATGCCCAGGTGTACTTTTCAAAACTGCTATTACTCGTACGAATTAACATGACATCTGGAGGTCTAATCTATTTCTCCGAAAAAGAAATTTCGTCTTTTTTCATTTTTCGATAATTTATAATACAACGGAGGTTGGACCAGACAAACATCAGATCTTCACAGATATGATGTATGTCAGATAAGCTAATCCAATTGTAGGAACAATTCGAAATGTTACAGGTTTTTGTTCAAGGACGATTAGAATAGGCCCTCAGAAGTCATGTTAGTTCACACTAGTATTGGGTATTTTTATTGTTACGTTTGGCTTTAACGTGTCTCTCCAGAGATCCTTCAATATGACACAACATTTATTGATTTAATTTGTGTTTATGATCCTTGACCCTGTTTGTCGAGTGCCAATATTACGATTCATAGCTGCATATAATAGCCATTGTACTTTTGATAGCACCTCAGGTTATAAAAAACTGTCATATTTCTTTACTTCATTTTAAATTTTAATACATTAAGAATCACTGGATAAATTAATAATTTTTTCTTATCAAGAGAAAACAATTATTTCTTATCCCTTACAAACTATTTATATGTTTTTTAATATAAAAATGTTTGAAATTCTCGTGTGCGTGAAGGTGAACATTAATATGCGTGAGTTACAGGCACACGCTGCATCTTGTTAATAACACCAGCTTCCTCATATTTCCCACAAAAGTAGGTAAAAAATTTATTTTTAATGGATCAATAACTTATTATATTATATAAGTAATAAAATAATATAATACAGTTTTTGTGGGAAATATTATTTTTAATGTTTCATTCCCAAATTATTTTAAAGAAATCTATCTACAATAAAACAATTTTATCCAAGTATGGCTTCATAAATAATAAGACTGATTTTCAAATAAAATAATTCTTCTTCAAATAACTTTATTGCAAGCACTTTTGAATCATCCAATAATTATTTCTATATAACTACCATACCACTCGTTAAAGACGTCTTTTGACTGACTATACCAACTCTAAACAGAGGTAAAGATATTTACGTAAAAGATCGTGGAAAGTTTCTTCGCATTTTATATAAACATTCAAAATATCTTTTAATAAAGTTTTTGTTTTTGAGGCTTTTGATAAAAAAAAACCGCATTGAGTGATTTGCAAGTCCTCGCATGATGTTAACCTGACACTGCCTAAAGAACACTGAAGAGACCGAAAAAGGCAGAAATCTGAAGGAACAAGGTCAGGACTATATGGCAGATGCATTAATACCTCTCAGCCTGCCTGCGTGGCAAAAGGTCATGATGCGTTATCATGATGAAAAACTACACCCCTTCTATTGATTAATTCTGGCCGCTTTCTCTGGTCCTACCTAGCGGTAATAGCTCGTAATTTAGCCACAGTCTGTGAAGACTGACTGATCTTTGACCACGACCTTTTTCGCATGTTCTTGTCGTACGTGATCCACTTTTCATCACTAGTTATGAGCTTCTTGATATCGTAAGGCAATTTTTTTATTTTAATTATTAATTCATCTAAATGGACACTTGAAGTTTACGTACCGATGGTATGTAATATTTTTAATAGATTCCATTCTTTTGAATTCCTGAACATTTTAAAAGCGTAGACTTTAATTTTCAAATGCGTAATACATGTTTTGCTAACAGTGACAGTTTTGGACATTGAACGAGCGTTTTCAACTTACGGGATGACAGTTACACCATATATTTTTTGGGATCTATGCGCTCTGACACTATATCTAGACCAGTATATAATTGTAATGAGTAAGTGAAGATTTTATTGGTGATGACGTGTTTTCGCCTTGGCCAGATCACGATGTATGTCAGACTAGTTCGCCCGTTCAAAGTTCAAATTTGTTATAGCTACAAATTATTTGCCTACCGTAGCACGGAGGAGCTCTAGATCATACATTTTTGGTCACATTGACCATCTGGATACAAATTATAATATGGGATGACGACGGGGTAAAAAAAAAAATATATTTAGTCCGTCAGTCAGATAATAGTAAAATAACATACCAATTTTTTTTTTCTTGAAATTAAACAAGAAATGGCTTAGATAATAGGTATTGAAGTTGAGGAGTGGGGGCATACGAAATTTAACTCAAATGTATCATATAAAAAAATACGTATTAAATATTCTTCAATAATCTTCCTGACGGACAAACAAACAAAAATTTGTCGTCATCCATAATACCTGTCTGAAATAGCTCAAATTATTTAATTGACGCAAAAAATATATATATTTGTTTCTTGCTAAATCCATACAATTTCGATTGCAGAATCAAAAAGCGATGCTAGAACGGCTTCAACAAATGCACGGGCTACCAAATGGGCTGTCCTTCAAGGATGTGCTAGTTCAATTCGCGAGTATGCAACAGAGCTCGGGTCTGATCCCTAGGCCGCCTGAGACGGCCACGCGACATGACCGGCTCGACCGGCCTGACCGACTCGACCGACCGGACCGACCTGACCGACCTGATCGACCGGAACGACCAGATCGACCCGAGCGCGCCGACCGACCAGGACCCGATCGGTCAGACCGTCGCCGCGACAGACACGAGGAGCTCGCGCCGAAATCGGCGGAGCGTCTCGCGTCGCCGAATCCCCGCCTCCCTCCACCGCCGCCATACCCAGAAATATCACTATTACCTGTCACCACAAGTCAGGAAACTGCACAACAGAACTCCTTGCTCCACGGAATCCTTACTAAGGTTAGTTTTTTTTTTAATTAATAATTTGAAAATTAATAATGTTCACTTTTGCATATTAAGTTATGATCCATAGACATAGGTGCTGTAACCACTTGCAGTTAAAATTTAATCATATCTAGTATAGAATATAATAGACTCGCCTAACTGTATATATTGCAAGTACAGTCGGCGTCAGATAGATAGTAATGTCTACTGTGACTTAACCGTCTGATTAGATATTTCATTTGTAGGTTTCACATATTTACAGAAAATTCTATGTAATAGCGTATGTGTATATATAAATAGATTTTTGTATGATTACGGCTGTTTGACGACGTCTGTATGTTAAATTTAATAATAAAATGATACATAGTATGAATTTTGTATTTATATTGAACTCAAAATATTCAGTTTAATTGTCGCCGCACAGATGTTTCTGGATCTAAAGTTAATTTTTACTTTTCTGCATGATCAGAACGCACTTGTAAATTCATATAAGATATGTATAAAGCTGCGTATAGACATATAGGCTCTTATATCGTTACCTAACTGTCCAAGTCGAGCGGCTCGCATCGCGCAAAGCGCAAAAATACGCTAGGACTAATATAATTGTACAAAAAATATACTGTGCTGTGGAACTCTTAATTATCCAAACGTATTAATTACAATAAAAGTGGCAGCAGAAACTTGAAGTGACATTGCGGGACATCAACTTGCACCGAAATCGCGTGACGTCACATTTTAATAAAAAGACACGTTAACGTCATTGTTGCGAATGCAACCAGTACTCAGTTTTATTGGAATGTGTCGTCACGGCTCTAAATGTCATTTGGCGGATTGTTCTCGCGGGCAATTGGAGTTATGGATAAAAATATATTTTTCTTTATTTAATTATACTTTTTGGAGAAAAATTAATCTGTAAAAGATAAGTTTTAATATACTTTTCCTAAAATAGTCAAGGAGCTAATCGACTGACTCGAGCTGAGCCGCGACGGCTGGCGCGCTCGCTGTGTGCCGCTCTAATATCGATATCAATGCGCCACGTTCTAATGTCAATGCGCAGCTTAAGAACTAGCCGAATCTATATTGTTGATTTGTGTATTATGTGTTATTATGGTAAGCTAAGATACAGCTATAGTTATATAAAAAATGTGGTGCATTAGAATCAAAATTATAATATCTTATATAATGGAGATTACAATGTAATTGATGATATATTCACTGCCGCTTTACATTCTAATTATTCCCTACTTATTAAAATAAATCAATTTTTATAATGCAGACACATGAATCACGATATGGATTCGCATATTGTTACTTAAAACTATACTACCTCCATATTCTGCTTCAGTCCATTAATCAATTTAATTTACCAATTTGACGATATGTATATTTATTATAATATATATTGATTAATAGATATTGTGAAGCTTTGGCGCTGCCCGTCCTACGTGAGCGACCTGGGTGCTATTTATAATACTAAATATGCTTTACTTATTTTTCGGGTTTATTGTTTAGAATTAAGTTAAAAAAATATAAAAAACGATAAGCTGCTGTTTACCATAAACTAACCGCCCGCTCAAACCTTATCCTGTACGTTTCCTGGACGTTTTTTTGTAGTATATGTTACAAATTAGTACCTAGAAGGTTAAATTTCGATGCACGGCAAATGCCGACCAATCAGAATATTCAAGTAACAGTGGGCGATTCACCAATATCGTGATTGAGTGTGACAGCTCCTAATGCTATGTATTTTAAACCTTGTGGGTATTGAAACAAGTGTGACTATAAATTTTAATCGTGCGGTCTGTATTGGTAAATCCGCTGTGTGCAAGCGAAAATTCACTATACGCTATATTAATTGAAATTTACTGTACATCTTTTAAACCTTACAACGTTTAGTGTAGAGTTTAATTTAAATTGCGGCAATTTGACATTATGTTTTAACATGACGTACAACGTAACGACGTAACAGTTGTGTGTACAGAAGTATATGCCACTAAATTTAAACAATTATTTAAAATGTATACTACAAAAAAAAAACCAAGGGTATGTGCAGGAGGTGTTGTAATTGTTAATATAATGTATATATTTTCTAATCAAAAAAGGTTGTGATTTGTGAAAGTACGCGCGTCGCTCACGTAAGGGAACGTACCCATATTACGTGACTAGTTCAAAGGAGGTATGTCTGAATGAGTGAGAGAGTAAACAACACGCTTGGTTACTAGGGGTGGGAGAGTGCTTAGTTCGTTATCTTGTGAATATCTCGCGTTTTCGAGCGAGCTGCATTCAGCGCTCTTAATTATTTAGTCGTAGGTGGCAACACAGGATCTAGAGGTGTTGAATTCAAAACCATTAAACAAATCATAAAATTAGGTCACGTATTATGAGTGGGTTCCCTAACTAGCTTGCATCCCGCTTGAGGTCGCCACTAGGACGCAGCGTCTGTCGCCAACGTTCAAACAGCTTGAATGGGTGTTGCCAACATTCCAGCAGGCGCCCCCTGTCTCTCAGAGTTACTCACCGACTTTGGCTAAACTGCTCACGTCGCCGGAACGGAAACAGAGCGCTTCAGCGTTGCCAACTTTCGGTCAGGCCAAGGTACCACCTCAATGTACAACCACCCCATTGGTGTGCTGATTGGCCTCGATCATTCCAAATTCAAAATTTAGCTCATAAGACTGTCAAATTTATTTTGTTCTTTAAAAAGTTCAGGCTTCTAGTAGAGCGGCTTTAGACACAGTTTTGTTTCTAATTATAGTACGACCAAATATAATAAATATTTCTTAAATTTATTTTCAATATGAACTTTTTACATAACAAATTGTATTGATACCTTTCTTTATTAATACTATTCAAAATTTATTAACACAAAGATGGCAATGCTCATTGTTATATGAATTATAATGCCACTTCATTACCACATTACTTACTTTTATAATTATTAGATATAAGTAAAAACATATTTATATCTTTGTTATGTAGTTTAGTCGAAGAATAAAAAGGTTTAAAATTTTATTTAGTATGTATTATAATTCTATTTTTCTACTGTGTAAAAAATTAAAATTATGTGGTGTACAACCATTACATTATAAACATCTACAAAGTTACAAACAAGAAAAATTAACTATATTATTATCATTTTAAGTGGAAACTGTCAATTGGTGTTATTTTTGTCAACAAAAAAAACACCATTCAATCCAATTCCAAAATATCGGATATTTTGATATTTATTATAAATATCATATTTTGCTAAACCTGGTTTAATTACATGGCAATGAGAAAAATATTTCATCTTTTTTCCAATCTTGGAAAATCAATACATACATTTATTTATTTTTAAAAGCAGATTTAAATTTTTTCTTCTTACCAATTCGTTTTCACAGTAGCATTAATGATTTATTCATCGACTGAACGTTAAGTTTTCAATGTCAACTACAGCAGCAGAAAATACTAATACTAAAATCTGAGTTAGTTACCCCAGAAGTATCAATTTCGTTGAATCGATGTATAATGTAAAGCCATGTCCGTTGCTGTTATGTTTCTAATAAACTATCAGATGAGGAAGTGAATTTTATAGACACGAATCTTTAACTGAAGTGATTGTTAAAATTCTGATTTGGCATCTGGTGGACAGCTGATTCTGTATTCAATATTAGGTTGTACTAATGATGGTATAAATGAGGAGTAAGCAGCAAAGAATATATAAATTACACGGGTTTAAATCCGTTCCATGTAAATTAATTAATTAAAAGCCGTGTCCAAAACTGCAATTGACATTGAATTTGGTGTATATTACATCAAAATTGTACTACCTAATCTGATAGTTATCGACGCTATGTTTCTACACAGCGTCGTAAGCTCTCATAGTGGGGTGTATGAGTACACATGTAATAAATATATGTATGCATGTTCGTATAGAACTGCGGCGAGATCACTATAACGCCGGTGCAGCCGGTGGGCGTGGCCGTGCCCGCTCCCGCGTCCGCACCCGCCGCCGCACCAGCGGCTACCACCGAGTCGCAGCCTGACAAGACCGAGGAGGTCGTCCAATTGGTAAGTACAATCATAAGTAAAAACAAACCTTTACACAAATAAACTTATTGATAGTGTTTGTGATCGCCAACATTTTTTTTTTACTTACCACCTGTTCAAGAAGTCTTTTGGCTGATAAGAAGAACGAGTGAAAGAAAGCTATTGGCGCTTACAAATGTAACGATATTTACAAAACCGTGTTATTGCCAAATCAGTTTTAACAATTATTATATCGAAGAATATTCTTAATGAAAAATTCTTAAAAAATCCATTTCGTTCCTGGCACCCTGAGATGGGAATCGAACCCACGACCTTTCGCAATCCGGGCGACTGCTCTCACCGCTGAGCTACCCAGGACCTAACAGGACTGACGAATCTTTCAAGCACTTGTTACTTTTACCCTACCTCAGAGCGTATTTTCATTAAATGTTTATTTATTTATTTATAAATGGTACACAAACAGATCATAATCAAAAGAGAAACTTACAAACATATTTTAAGTATTTAGACTAGACTATAATCTAAAAAAGTGCACACAACATGAACAGTATTAACTTACAACATGAACAGATCCTTAAATAACTTTTATTATACAGTAAATTGAAATATTAAATGGTGTTAATGTTATAATTATAGAAATTTGTCTTTTTTTATATTTTGATAATTTGTTATTGAAAATATCGACTGTTCCATCATTACGATTCGATTCTTTATATGTACGACACATTCTTACGATCGGGTTATAAAAAGACGTATTGTTTTTGTGGACTACTTCATCAATGTGGACTGAAGAAAGTAACCTAGGCGAATCAATAAGCGAATGCATTATTTTATGTAGACAGAGGAGGTCATTCAGATTCAGAGTTCAGGCAATCAGGCACGCGGAGAGCTAGTATAAAATATACAAGTTCGTTGATTTTGTTGGTCTTTCGCGGGGTGGTAACGTGCTCTGTGATCGTCAGGACGACGAGGAAAGTCCCGCGTCTGAGGCGTCAGAGGGCGCGTCGCCGGAGGGTTCGGGCGGGTCGGGGGGCTCCGCGGGGCGCCTCGTGATCGACGAGGGGGGCGCGGAGGCGGAGGCGCCGCTGTGCCAGGGCTGCCGCCGCCGCGACGCGCAGTTCGTGTGCGCCGGCTGCGCCAACCAGTGGTACTGCAGCCGCGACTGCCAGGTACCGCTGTCGTATATACAACTATTCTATTCTATTTGTCGTCGAATGTTTTTTATAATTTTTGTCACGCTAATTCGCACGAGTAGTAAGCCGAAACATTTTTAGCGACGCACTAATTTTGATATTGACTTACTGTAAATTACAGACATGTTTTTACTATTGATAATTTAATAAGTGTGACCGAGTTTTATTGATATACTCACAGTTTGATTGCTAAATATAAATATTATGATCTGCTTACTGTGTACATCTAATTTTCTTTGCTCATTCAACTCACAAGTGTTCTGTGCTCCCGTTTATTAACTACAAGCAGCGCAGTGCGAATCTTAGTATGAGCTTGCTCATGGTCGATTTAATATATAGTTTTGTACAATATTATAAGTTAATTTTTTTGACATGTAATTATTATTAAAGAATTCTTTATTACTGATATTATTTTATATAGACTATTAATAAACATGCAAATGTGACGTCAGAAATCTACTAACGTAGTGGGCACACACACCTTATCCCGAATTATCTGAATATTTAATAACTTCAACTTTTCAAACCTTAATTTGTCTATATTTGTAGGTCGCGGCGTGGGATGAACACTCGGAAATGTGCTCCGGGTAAGAGCACCCGTTCCCGTGGGACGCGAGTTCTCCAAGACGTACCTTAAGTAGTGTCATTTGCCTTATAACTAGTAGAACGAAATAAGCGAATCTCTATATAACTTCTCTTTAGCGCTTCGAAACGAACTTATTGTTTGTGCTGCGCTATTTGTGTTTGAGAAGTCGATAAAAGTTATGATCGTAACAATCATATAATATACCTTCTTTTTTATTTTCCCGTTTTTTATTTGAGTTGATCTGTGAACGTTTCTTAAGTTTAATTGACACGTAAAAGGCATAAATTCTGTTTGTAATACGAATAACCAAAGGTGTTTTTGTGATAATTTGTTGCTTATAAAAAAAAACATGTACGGAAGGGGCAGATTTAATTGTGTTGCATTGAATACAGTTTCTAGAATTCATGCAAAACATTTCTTTATGATTTATATCCGATCTATAAGGATTTATAAATTTCAAGTATAAAACTGTAATGAACTGTTGATAATATTTAGAAAAATGGCAAGAAGAAGAATAGTAATTAAGAAGATTTTTGAAATTCAGTTAAAAGTGATTTAGTATTCCGTTTTGCCCTGGATGAATAAAGATATGTACGCCATCGCCTTTACACTTGATGTATTACAGAATTACAAAAGCTGGCGATATACCTATTTTATGTTCTCAATGTACTAGTTTTCACTAAGTCATACAATTTCATACAAATGTGTGATTATTTGCGTACAACTTTACGAGTTTTCGATCAATGCCTGAGGACAAATAATATTTTTGTTTACAGTTTACTAAAAATGACGCATTTGCTAATTTACAGCACATTTTACAGCGGTACTTATAAATTTCATGTTTTGTACTATCGAAGTATATTTACTAAAACATTACTATGGAAATATTATTTCGTGCAAACGATCGTACTAAAAACTAGTATTTGTAATATTGGTGCATTTTCTTTAAAATTATTGAAAACTAAAGATCTTTAATAACCTTCGTTCGTTTATATTTAAAATGTGTTGTAATATAAAAAAATACTGTCTAAAGCATTTAAATAATCAAGAGACCTATGGTTATTTTCTGGCGCTATTTCTTTAGCGTAGTGATTATAGTAATAATTAATGTGTAACATACTGATTTGTTTCCGCATAATGTTCCTAAATTTTTGATGTCACATTTATGAAAAAGTCTAAATATTTTAGCATAATAATAATAATAAATGTATAACTTGGTCTAGGAAATTGTGGTTGTGGCGTATACCTGGATTTATTATAAACGATGTGTGTTTGGTGCACTTGAGGTAGTCGATTATTGTCTTGAATGCGATTTGTTATTAAAAAACCCTTTAGGAGTATTCAAATATTTTTATGTAATATCCGAAAATTAAATATCAGACCGTTTCTTCCAGTATCATTTGTAAATTCATTAATTTTTGGGGTGCAAACTTTTTATATTGTCCATGTTTTATAATCTTTTCTGTGGATAAAAACTTCATTATTGATTGAGACCGTATTTTAGATAAAGTCTTAAAATTAGTTATACGTATTTTCAGTTAAAAATATTACAGTGTCAGAAAGAAGTGGATTTTTTTTTGTTTTATTATTACGAAATAAATTTTTTTTTGTATTCTGCTTGATTGGTATTTTCGCCCTCTGGTATTTCTACGTGATTGGTATTCGTTTATATTGCTAATTAATTCATATTACGTATACTGAAATGTTGCACTTAAGAATAATTCGACTTACATTTAAGCTGCGTGCAGGTGATGTTAAGTCATAGAAAAAATCTACGCTTGTTCGAAGCACACTGTATGAAACGTTACTCGGTAGAGTGTAGGGTACGTGCATGTGTTGTCGCATCGTGGTTTAATTTCGAGAAAAGGTAAATTACCTTATTTAGCCGTTTGGGGTTGCAAGAAATTTTTATAGTGAAGAATCAGTTGTCATATCAATAGACTAGTTGACAACTTTTTTATTATTTCATAAATAAATAGTCCATTAACATCTGAGAAATAATGTCGAAGTAACAGCATGTCTGCGACTAATAGTTTCGGAGATACGGTGCTGTGTTTGTAGAACTGCTGCTAGTTGGCCGAAAACACTCCCTACAAATACAAGGCACTCAGTGACGTCACACGGTGCTACAGTAGCGAAAAATGTATGGGCGTCTGGACTTTTTTCTAATATCTTTGTTATCTGTGCGTTTATGTTTATAGCTGTTATAATGAAAGCTGTAACATTCTTTATATCTAATTTAATGCCTTATGTATTTTAGCAAATTTTTGTAGTAGATTTTCTCTACTTTTTTTAAGTTTTCAAAGCGTAATATTTTCCAAATCAGTGACTTAAAATTTGTTTTGTTAAACATTTATAAGTTAAAATGGTTCATATTTTTCAAAGATATAACAAAAACCTGTATTTTCACTTGTAGGACACAAGCCTATTATATCAGAGGATATTTTTGAAGTAATCAATTTTATCGTTATGAGCGACTTGTCAAGTCACGTCCGTTGTCTGCACGCAGCCTTATATGTAATACTACCCGATCACCAAATGAATACAAATATCATATGTTCGTACGATCTCCAGTGTGTACTTTAGTCTCAAAGTAATTAATATAAAAAAAAACAGTAAATTAGTGTTTCTTGTAAATGACAAAATTGTTAACTTCTACGAAATCTTCGCTTCCTCCGTTAGGCCATTCCTTTAATAATTTGATGCTATACGTATAATAAAGCTATGTTATAGCTGAATTTTTAGTATTTAACAATTATATTGTATTCGCGAGTGATTCTGTAAGAGAGTTCTGGATTATGCTTTTGTATGATACACCAAAAACGATTGTCTATTTGAAATTATTCAATTAATATGTTAATATAATATTACTCGGCAAACTTTGATTGTATGTATAGTCGACAACACAGGCTATAAAGGTAAAAATTTGTCCATCGATTTTAAGCCTTAATGAAACCTGACGTACTGTGGGACTGTACATTATATAATAAGCTGTTCATATTTTCGTTAAGATATATACTTTGTATTATTCAACAATGTTATATTTTAATGCAGTAACTGTATGAATAATATACACATTTATAAGAATTAATATAGTTATTATATTTGAGTAATTTAGCATTCACAATGCTATACTAAACATATTCTTAATGAAATATGCTAAAAAAATTCACTCGGTCCTTGGCACCCTGAGGATGGTATTTTTTTAAGCATTTTATTTTGAATATAATTAATATAGCTTTTGATTCAATCATTAGAGAACTTTAAAATTATTGTGTTATCGAATCATTAATCATGAACCAAGTATTTTGTGCCTTTTCTGTATTTTAAGTTGCTCTTATTTATCTGCGGTGTAATTCAGAACGGTGTGCCTGAAGAGTGGATTATGAGTGTACTACCTATTATAGTAAGTTAGTTTGTAGTATACATAAAAACTATATTATATGATTATGTGGAGATTCACAATATCAATCGGAATCAAATTTTGAAATCAATTTATTTTGTAATAATGATAATGGAACGATTGACGCTCGAACATGAATAATTTGTTGTAAGTACATACGCATTGGAATATATTAAATGTATAATATCAGAGCTGAGATATGATCGAAATAAATGAATAAAAAAAAAGCTGTGGTGGGGATATTTCGCTACCCCTTCCATTAACTCCCTATACATTAGTTTACAATAAATGTTGCCAGACAGATTTTTAATTTATTTGACCGATACCGGCTTCTGCCGTTTATTAAAATGTTAATGTAAATAGAAGAATATTCTACTACTCTTTGAATGTTGACCTTTTAAGCTGGCCTGCAATAAAATATCCGTAGCCAGAAAAGCAAGCGAGTATTTTTGTATGTGGCACTTTATATGTGATACAAAATTAGTAAATACAAGGATGTTAAGTAGCATTAAAAATAATAATTACGAATTCTTCTTGTTCGAGCTAATTTGGGTCGATATACGCATTGATTTGATCCTTGTGCTATAAGATCATTCGTTTCCCGTCACGCGGTCCGGTCAGTCAGTGGCGTGGTCGACTCTACGAATAAATAGAATAATTTATTTTCTACAGTTGTAAATGTGACTATAGTATTATATTTATGAAGCGTTCTATATTACTACACGCCCCCCCCCTCCCCCCTCCGTGCCAAACAACTAATATTTCACACCAAATTCGTTTTTCATTATTGATGATTTTTGACTAATGTCGGAGTTTGATACAAGATATGTTTTTTTTTATTTGACTCTTACACAGAAGACTTTAAAGATGATTTTTGTTCAACGATGTTTTGTGATCGTTACGTCTCTTAATGTGATCAGTAATTACGTAATGTATGCGGCGTCTAGATACAAGTAAGTCCGCTCTGAATAAACGCTACTAATGTAATAGAACAATTAAAATCGTGGAGCGGTGTGTTTCGTCTATAGTTTTATTCAAGTCGGACTTGCGGAATCTTTGTATCGGAATTTATATATTTCTTTAATTTAATCAAGAACTGATTTTGAAAAATAATGACCGGTCATTTGGTCCTTCGAGTCCAGTGACGTCGGAAGTGGTCCCGCCGCGCGTGGTTACTTGTACACCCGTATTCAGGAACTGAGCAGCTGTATTATTCTCTATAACGCTAGTCACGTGTTTTGTTACCTATATATAACTGTTTATGTATTTTGTAACTTATAATGATGTTATATAAGAATGTATTAAAAGCAGTACTGTCTCTGAAACCTGATTAAAGTGTTTTATTTCTTCGTTCTGAATATAATAATAATGATATTTATTGATAATTCCATATTACAAAATTCTCTTATCCTATTTGGTTGTCACAAAAAGAATAGATTAGTTTTTATTGAATAAGAGGATAACGTTGACAGCTGTTTTAGTATGAACTGTCACAGCTGTCAGCGCCCCCACCTAAGGCACATAAATATTACAGGCATTTTTATTCTTAGAGAATTTGCAATAGTAATTATACAAAACCACAGTACTATTTTAAAACAACTATTATTTTAGTAATAAATAAAAAAAAAAGAAAAAACAAAAACAAACATTCATTTTTAGTTCTTGAGAATTTCCTCTGTATCCATGAAGCTAAATTTTAGAAGCCAACTTCGAAGCTGTTTCTTACATTTATGCAGTGTGAGAGAATATATATCATTAATTTTATTGATCTTATTGTACAGATAGAATATTTTAGTAGGAAGTTTGGCGTT